GATACATATTAATAACAATAATAAAGATATGATTAATAATTAATAATTGGGGTTTGTTTTAACCTAACATTATCCTCCTTCTAGAAACAAACAAAAATAGAATTCAATAATGATGAAAAAAAAAAATAAATAAATAAAAAAAATAATAGTAAAAAAAATAATAATAAATATAAAAAAAAAAAAAAAAAAAAAAGTATAGTTTATTTTAAAATTTTTTTTTTTTCTTTAAAATAAATACATTCCACAATACAGAAATTATATACAGCCATTATCTTTTCTTCTAAAGTAGGAAAAGAAATAAAAGGATATATATATTTAAATTTGGGGGGTAAAAAAGCATAGCAACAATTTATTTTTTTTATTTATTTTAGTTTTAATTTTATTTTTAATTATTTAAATATTTTTATATATTAATCTTAAAATTTTAAAAAAAAAATAAATAATAATAATAATAATAATAATTATTTACAGAATTTAAACAATTATAAAACAATTATATAAAACAATAGTTTACATATCACATATATTTAAATAAAATAAAATTATATTCAAAATGGGTTTTATTGCAGAAGGTAATACATTAGCATGGGAAGATGCAGAACAACACGCAAATTATATTAGAGAACATGGTATTATTCAATTATTAAATATATTAAAGAGTAATAAAGATAGACACGGGGATGATTTTAAATGGGGTGATGAAGTAAGTTTTATTCAATTAACTATTGTTTTTTAATATTATTTTTAAAATATTAATATTTTTTTTTTTTTTTTTTTTAACAAAATAAAGGTCGAATATATATTAATTACAAATGACACATTTAAATTAAAATTAAGAGCAAATGAAGTTTTAGATTTGTTAATGTTAGAAGAAAAGAGAAACCACGGTAATGTTGATCATCTTTGGAGACCAGAGTACGGACGTTTTATGATTGAAGGCACACCAGGTAGTCCATATGAAGGATTAGGTAGACAATTATTAGCTATTCAACAGAGTTTAGTAAAGAGAAGAGAGAGTGTACAAAGATATCTTAAACCAGAAGAGTCAATTCTTACAGTTACCTGTTATCCGAGAATGGGTTGTAAAGGTTTTACAGAACCACAAGCAGAGGTTAAAGGCCCAGTTGCAGAGTCTCAATTTCTTCCAGATATGGTTATTAACCCACATTTTAGATTTAGTACATTAACAGCAAATATTAGAAAAAGAAGAGGTTCAAATGTATCAATTAATATTCCAATGTTTAAAGACACATTCACTAAAGAATATGTTGACCAACAAACCTATATTTCACCAGATCAAGACGATAAAGCTATTAACCAACCATATAACATTTACATGGATGCAATGGGTTTTGGTATGGGTTGCTGTTGCCTCCAAGCTACTTTCCAATTGCCAGATATGGAGGAAGCAAGAAATATGTTTGATCAATTAGCTCCAATTACTCCATTAGTTTTATCATTATCAGCTGCAAGTTCAATTTTTAAAGGCTATCTTTCAGATATTGACGCACGTTGGACTGTTATTTCCCAATCTGTTGATGATAGAACCAAAGAAGAATTAGGTAAAATTGTAAGTACAACTTTAAATTTATTTATTTTTTATATTTTTTAAATTATTTATACTAATGTTTTTTTTTTTTAATAATACTTTAGGGTTTAAATAAAAATAAATTTGTAATTAATAAATCAAGATATGACTCAATTGATTGTTATATTTCACGTTCACCACAATTTAGAAGTGAATATAATGATTTAGATTTAGTTTATGATAAAGATGTTTATCAAAAAATGGTAGAAAATGGTATTGATGGTCTTTTATCCAAACATTTTGCTCACTTGTTTATCCGTGATCCATTGGTAATCTATTCAGATAAGATCGAAATCGACGATGAAAAGCATACCGATCATTTTGAAAACATTCAATCAACCAATTGGCAAACTGTTCGTTTCAAACCACCACCACCAGGCGCTTCTATTGGTTGGAGAGTAGAGCTTCGTTCAATGGAAGTTCAATTAACCGATTTCCAAAATGCCGCTTTTATTGTATTCTCTGCTATTTTAGTTAAAGCCATCGCTGACCTCAAATTAAACTTTTATGTCCCAATTTCAAAAATTGATGAAAATTTAAAAACTGCCCATAAAAGAAATTCTGTAGTCAATGACAAATTTTATTTTAGAAAAAATATTTATAATAGTAAGTGGTGGTGTTTGTTATTTTATATTAAATTTTATATAAATTACTAATTTAATTTTTTTATTTATTTATAGACAACTCCCCAAATGGTTCAGTAGAAAATGAATATGAATTAATGACCATTAATGAAATTTTCAATGGTAAGGGTGAATTCATTGGTCTTGTAAATGTATTAAAAAATTATATTAAATCATTAAATTTCGACGCTGAAACCAATCAAACCGTTAATAGATACTTAAACTTCATCTCACAAAAGGCTTCTGGTGAAATTAAAACCATCTCAACTTGGACAAGAGAATTTGTTCAAAATCATCCAGCTTACAAACACGATTCTGTTGTATCTGAAGAAATTCAAGCAGACTATCTCAAACTCTGTTTAGATATTACAAATGGCGTTGTATATGATGAAGAGATTCAAGGAAACTTTGAAAGATTAGATTCAAATTGAATTCTAATTAATAATAACAATAATAATATTAACAATAACAACAGTAATAATTCAAGTATTTATAATTACAACAAAAAATTTTATTATAACTATTTTAAAAATAGTAAAAATAAAATTATGACAACTACCACTACCACTACCACCACCTCATCCACATCACCAAAAAACTAAAAAAAAATTAAATAAATATATTAAAGTTTCATATTTATCTCTTTTTTTTTACCTTTTTTTTTTTTTTTTTTTATTTTATTTTTGTAATTATTCTTTATAGTTTTTTTTTTGTTGTTATTTTTTATTTTCCTTTCAAAAAAAAAGAAAAAAAAAAATACATGTAAATTTTATTTATGTAATGTATTCGGAAAATTAAAAAATAATTAATATAGAAAAGAAAAAAGATAAAGAATAAATATAAAAATAATATGGAAAAAAAAAAAAAAAAAAAAAAAATAAATAAATAAATTTAACCTTTAATAGAAATAAAGAAAGAGATAGAATCAAAAATTAACCCTTCCCACAAAAATATTTGAAAAATTTTTTTTTTATTTTTTTTTTGGATTTTTTTGGTTGGGTTTTTTTTTTGGAAACCCGGGGGGGGCTTTTTTTTTTTTGCCTTTTTAAATTTTTATTAGATTTGGGGTTTTTTTTTTTTTTTTTTTTTTTTTTTTTTAATTATTTTTTTTTTTGCGTTATTTAAATAAGTTTTTTTTTATTATTTTTTTATTTTTTTTTTATTTTATTTTTTTTAATTTATTCATTTATTAATATATTTATTGATTTTTTTTTTTTTTATTTATTTATTTAATTTAATTAATATATTTATTATATATAAATATTTTAATTATTTCAATTTAATTTTTTGATATTTTTTTTTTTTTTTTGATATTTTTTATTTTTTAAAAACAATATCTTTATTTTATTTTAAATAATTTTTAAAAATTAAATATTTTTTTTAATTTTTTATTTTTTTGTTATCACACCCTCAAACACACTTATATTTGTATATAATTTTAAATATATATATTTATTTCCTTATAAATATATCATTGATTATTTTTATATACATATTAATTATCATATATTTATTATTAAATATTAAATATTTTAAACATTCATATATAAAAAAAACAAAACAAAATAAAGCAAAAAAAAAAAAAAAAAAAAACTAGATTAAAATAAAAAGTAATAGTACTATTAATAATAATAATAAAATAAAAATAAAAATAATAAGTAGTAATCATCAATAATAATAATAATCAGTAATAATAATCAATAATAAAAATAATGTCAAGATTATTTTTAGCAATCAATTCAACATGGAAATTGGTGCCAAATGATAGTATTGGTATTGCACTTTATTCATTTAATGGTATGGATGCCCATCAAATATCGTTTTCAGTTGGCGATGTATTGCAAATTGAAGAGGAGTCTACAAATTGGTACAGAGGCAAGGTTTTAACAAGTGATCAAAGAGGTATATTCCCAAAATCATATGTAGCACTAAAGACTGCACAGGATTTTGATTTAGTAACCAATGAATTAACACAAGTAATCAGAGAATGGGGAGCTTTGCTCATGAAGTATTATAAAGAAAGAAAAATGAATGAATATAAGGTTATGAAGGAATATTTATCACTATTAATCGAGTGGCATTCAAAGATTGCTAACCATTCAACTGAGGCCCAAGAAGTTCGCGAGATCAAGGGCAAAGTTATTAATAAAATCGAACAGGGTAGAAGATTAATGGGTCTAGATATGATAGTTAGAACACCAAATAGCGAGCCTGCTCACGAAAAAAATACTGGTATCATTCAGTTATACAGAATGCACCACGAATTGGATACTTTAAAATACTCGAAATTTATTCAGCAACAGCAATCTTCATCTTCGACTCTACAGCAATCTCAATCATTAGTTACATCCCCATCGAATCAATCTTTAGCCTCATCGACATCATCTATAGTTTCATCTTCATTATCTTCATCTCAGCACCAACAGCAAGCAACTGTTCTTTTACAGCAACAACAACAGCTTAGCAATAGTAACTTATTATCATTATCGACGTCAACATCAAGTGGTGTTGCATCTATTGGAGGAAATGCAAGTGGAGGAAGTGCAGGTAGTAATAGTGCATCATCATCGTCGTCCTCATCATCATCTCATCCACAACTAAACCATACTTTATCAGGTGGATCATTATCTAAAAAAGCAACAGTAGTTCAAAATATTAAGTCAGGATCTATATCTAGAAAATCAATTTCTAGAAATAATACTGGTGATTCGTTTGCTAATGGTCAAGTTGTTCAAATACCTCACAACAACAATTATCAGCCAAATCAAATCTTTTTGGACCTCAGAGTTTTTATGTGTGCTGTAGGTGAAGAGACAGAACTATACTTTTCCCTCTATAATAAAAATGAGGGTAAATTTATAACTGAAGAGTTCCAGGTTGGATTAACTAATTTAGGTATGCCACACGACATTGAAAAGATTGGTAAACTCTCGACATTGTTTACGGATATATCAAAAAAAGAATTACAAACAGAGTTGTATTTGGTTGTTAGATTAATTAGAAAAGGTAAAATGTTGGCAGATTCTAATAAGAAAGCAGGTATCATTCATTATCGTCGTCCATTTGGTGTCTCTGTATTAAGATTGACTGACGACAAACTCACAGCTGGTAAAGAAATAGAAAGTATAATGACTATCTACACCAGTACACAAGAAACATCATTTTCATTACTTCACGAAGTAGCCATCAAAAACCCATCATCCCTTCAAACTGTGCCAAAGGCTAAGGGTATTTGTGTTGCTTTAACTCTTTTACCAGGTGACCTTAAAAGTGTTTTACGTGAGAATCCAGAATTGGTAGTTCAAAAAACCAATAGATTGGGTTTCCCAGAGGTAATCTTCCCAGGTGCTATAAGAAATGATATTTTCATAACTCTAGAAAGTGGTGAATACTCTCAAGATCGTAAAACCAGTGCTAAAAATGTTGAGGTTTTAGTTCAAGTTCGTAATGAAGAGGGTGAACTACTTAGCAACGCTTTATATTATGGTGATAAGTTAAGGTCCGAATTTAAATCAATGGTTTACTACCACACAAATCAACCACATTGGTCAGAAACCTTTAGAGTTAATTTACCAGTTTTTTTAATTGATAAGGCATATTTAGTTTTTTCAATCAGACATTGTACAACATCCGAAAGTAAGTATTATAATATATGGATAAATATAATAGACATAGTATTAATAAGTATACTAATTAATTGTATTTCTTATAGATAAAGAAAGAGTACCATTTGCAATGACTTATTTGAAGCTTACAAATCCAGATGGCACAGTAATTGCAAATAAAACCCATTCAATTCCATCATATAAAACCAGTAAAAGTATTGAAGAGTTTTTACCATCATTAAAAGATCCAAACAATAAGAATGCTTTACGTAAAGGTGAAAATACTAAAGTTAAGGTTCTATTATGTTCAACTTTATTAACACAAAATTGTAATTATAATTTAATTTTTTTTTAATTTTTAGTTTTTTTAAAAAATACTAATTTTTTATTTTCTATAGTATCACTCTTGACATTATTAAAATGGGATCAATATAGTGGTGACTTGGGTGAAGTTTTAAATAGATTTACTTTTGTTGATCAAATAGAAATTATTAAATTTATGCAAGAAACTTTTAATGCACTGTTTGCAATTTTAGAGGCTAAAAAGATATCGGATTTAGATTTGGTGTTTAATGCAATTACATGGATCATTGGTTTATTGGTAGATGAAAAGACTTCGAGATACACTAATTTTAAACCAGTATTAGATGAGTATATCGAAAATCATTTCAAATCAACACTTTCACATATTCATTTAATTGGTTGTCTTAAAAGAATTTTAACAAATGACAACTTTAAAACTTTAATGTCAACATTAAAATCAATAGAATACATTTTGAAGTTCATCGTCACATCAAAAAAAAATCACGATAAGATCAATCCACACCAAAATATTTCTTTTAAAGAAGATTTAACCAGTGTTTTCAACTCTTTAAGTACTTTAATGAAAAGAACCGAGGGTAATTATATTGGTGCACAGACTACCGCTTTAAAGATTTTCAATTCAATGTTTAATGATTTGGGTCAATTGTTTTCAATCGAAGAAAGAGGTACCATTGCAAGAAATTTCGTTGATAGTGTCCGTTATGATGAAAGCTATAAACTTTTAAATATGGAAAAGATGAACGTAATTCTTAATCTTGTCGAAGGTGATTTATTTGCCGATAGTAGTTCAAGAAAACTTTTAATTCCAATGGTAAAGAGACACTTGAAGCTTCATATGTCATCATCTAGCTGCTCCGTTGAAGATACAAAGAAATATGCCGAAATTATATCAGCCATCATTGAACAAATTCAAGTTAAAATCAAGGATTTAACTTTAATTTGGGAGATCGTCGATCTTTTACCAGAAATTATGAAGTCTATTCAATCATCGCCATGGAACGAGTTTTCAAAACTCGACATGATTCATAACCTTTATTCTATCTTTTATCTAATGGAGCCACATCACTATGACGAATACATCGAAAAAACTCTTGGTGAAGAAAATTGTTGGAACTTTATTTTAAATGTCTTAACATTATTAAATCAATTATTATCTACCAATTCGACCTATCCAGAGAACTGGCTCACTCTATCAATGTTCCAATATAGTATCGTAAAGAGAGTCGTTATTCAAATAAGCAAATATTTATCAAACAAAACAAAAGGAGGCAAAGAATGGGTATCATTGGATTTAAATTTATGGTCCACTTATTTCTCTTTAGCCAACACCTATTTCAAATTGAAAGGTTTAGCTTTAGAGAACTTTTCAGAGGCAAAGCAAAATACAATTAAATCTCGTTATGGTGATATGAGAAATGATTTAATTTCAACAATTGAAAAAATGTGGCAATCATTAGATAGACACCAAATCAAATTACTCCCAACTGTAATTTCACCATTCCTCGAGTTAATGTTAATTAACCAAAATAACCTCAAACAACTGGGTATCGAATTATATTATCAATTATTAAAATGTGAATTCAAAGAGTACAAATCATTTAAAAAAGTCGAAACCGAAACTATTAATACTCTTGATATCATTACAAACTCACCAGAGGGTTCAGAGATTCTAGATGAAAAGTTCCGTAAATTCTTTTCGCACAATTTAGAAGAAAAAATGGCTTCGGATCAGCTCATCAAGGATCAAAGTAAAGTATTTATCAGTGATATGACAATCTTTTTAGAGTTACTCTATCAACTTAGAACTTTACCAGACCGTCCAGAGTATGAAGATGACCGTTGTATTGCCGCTATGAAGTTGATGAGCTATTTGAAACAAACAGATCGTCAAGACACCTATACTAAATATGTACATTTATTATGTACCCAGCATATTTCAAATGGTAATTTCGTCGAAGCTGGTCACACATTATTGCTTCATGCTGATCTTTTAGGTTGGTCCGACGATGTATTGGAAGAGTATGGTGACTTTAAACAACAAACTCAAAGAGAACGTAAAGAAAAGCTATTCAAACAAGCCATCGAATACTTTGATAAAGGTAAGGCTTGGGAAAAAGCAATTTCATTAATGAAGCAATTAATCATTCAGTATGAAGAGGTTCAATTCGATTATCAAAAGTTGGCAGACATCCTCCAACAAGAGTCCACCTTTTATCGTAAGATTATTGGTGTCGAAAGATTTTTCTCAGAATACTTTAGGGTTGGTTACTATGGTAAAGGTTTTGATCCATCGATCCAAGGTAAAGAATTTATTTACAAAGGTTATGAATTGGAAAGAATGTCAGATTTCGTTCAACGTATTCAAACCAAATTCCCAAATGCTAAGCTTTTAACATACACCGAAACTCCACCAATCGAAATTTTAGATTCGAATCAACAATTTTTACAAATTTACAATGTTAAACCAATTTCCAAAGAACAATCATTACAATTAAATGCAAGCAATAATACTGCAATAGTTAATAATAATAGTATGGGTTCAAATAAGAAATCAATTTCACCAGCTTTACAAAAATATAGATTAAACAATAATATCAATACTTTTGTTTATTCTAAACCATTCAAGAAAACAAAAACACCAAAGGGTGGTAATGAATTTAAAGACCTTTGGATTCAAAATAATTATTTTACCTCACAAGACTCATTCCCAACAACTCATAGAAGATCAGAAATTACTAATCATTTTGAAATCGAATTATCACCAATTGATAATGCCCTCAATTCAATCATTGGAAAGAATTCAGAAATTGCAGAAATGACCAATAAATATGAAAGTGGTATTGATCCAAATATTTCACCATTCACTATGGTTCTTAAAGGTGTAATTGATGCTGCTGTTAATGGTGGTGTTGGTCTCTACAAAGAGGTTTTCTTCTCTCAACAATATCTAGATGAAAACCCAGATAAAAAACAAACTATTGAAAAACTTAGAGCAGCTTTAAATCATCAAGTTCAGGTTTTAGAAAGAGGTCTTTTAGTTCATTCTAAGGTTTGTTCAAATGAAATGGCAGGTCTTCAATCAAATTTAGAATTATTGTTCAACAAGATGAGAGCCGAATTAGAATTATAATTTAATCTAATAATATCAAACCATATAATAAAAAATAAATAGTAAAAAAATCGCCCCAATTATAAAATTTTTTATTTTTTTTATTTTATAACTTTAGATTTTTTCCTTTTTTTTTTAAAAATTATTTTGATAAATATTATTATTTTTTTGCACCAAATTTTCAATTAACCAAAAACAAAAATCCTAAATAAACAAGAAAACTTAGACATGTCGTGCCAATCAAAAATCTTTATTTTTTTTTTTTTTCTATATTTTTTTATTTTTTAATTTTTTAATTTTTTTTTAAAAATTATTATTTTTTATTTTTTATAACCCACAAAAAATAATATAATGTCCAGAGATAACAACCAAAATAATAAACAAAGTGATTTGGATGTTTCAAATAAAGAATTATTAATAAATAACTTAAATAGATTGTCACAGCAAGTTACAATATCGGATATAAATGATATATTAAACCAAAAAAATATATCAGATCCACAGGATTATGATTTAGACGCTAACAACAATAGCAATATCAATAGTAACAATGACAGTAACAATAATGATAATAGCAAAATAAATTATGATTATAATAACAATAGTAATAATTATAATAATAATAATAAAAGTGATAACGAAGAAGAAAAAGAAGCTTTAGAATCAAATAATAGTAGTTTAGATGATAATATTTCAGAAGAATATACAGTTTCAACACCAATTTCACCATTTTTACCTCCAATTGTCACAGAAAATATTTTAAATTTAAATTTAGATGGCAAATATAATCATCATCATAATAATAATAATACTATCAATCTTAATAGTAACAATATTATAAATAACATTAGTATTGATAATGGCAATAATATTAATAATATTAATAATAGCAATAATAGCAATAATATTAATAATAGTACTATCAATAATAATAGATTTTTTAATATTAATAATCGTCTTGTTGATAAAACAACAATTATTAATTTTAATGTTGGTGGTACTTTATTCTCAAGTTCAATTAGAACAATTAAACTCTACCCAGATTCATTACTTTGGAAAATTGTTGAATTACAAATTGATTTAGTATTGAATGATGAAGTAATTTTTATAGATAGAAGTCCACTTTACTTCCCAATAATTTTAGATTTTATTAGAACAGGTATATAACCTTATCCATGTATATTGTTTGTAAAGTAAATTTTATTAATTTGGTTTTTAAAAAAAAAACAATAGGTTCATATATTCCAGATTCGTCAACTAATTCAAAAGGTTTATTATTGGAGGCAGGTTTTTATCGTTTAGAAAAACTATCTGAGTTGGTCCAAGAAGAGTCAGAATTAACAAGAGCTGACATTATCAGAATTATAAATTCCTCATATGACTACCCCCGTCTTAGAGGTTTATGGTTAATGAAAGTAAATTTCTCTGGATTAGATCTTTCATCAACAACATTTGAATATTCAAATTTATCATTTTCGATCTTTAATAGCACATCTCTTAGACAAGTAAATATGAGAGGAACAAAGCTAAATAAATCATATTTTAAAAACTGTGATATAAAAGGATCAGATTTATCAAAGTCAATCATTACCAATGCCACATTTATAAGCAATTTTGCCCTTCAGCTTTCTGCAAATGGTGTTAACTTTTCTGGGTTAGTATTTATATTTAATATTTATTTATTTATTTATTTTAATTTTAATTAACTTTTATATTTTTTTATTTTACTTTAGATCCAATTTATCAAAAACTAGATTCAGTGGTTCAGATTTAAGTCAATCTAACTTCAATGGCGCCGATCTAACAGATTGTAATTTATCAGATTGCAATTTATCAAATTGTGATTTCCGTGGGTGTATATTTTCAGAAAATACTCTTTTTAATAATTCAAATATTAAATCCTCATTGTTTGATGACAATGTTTCACCATCATTATTCCATAATATAAATAATCATAATAATGGAGGTACCCAAAAGAACAAAACTTGGAATAAATTAAAAAATAAAATTAAAAAATAAAAACCTTTGTAAATTCTTTTTAATATATTATAACACTAAATAAATAATCTTTTTTATATTTTTTTTTAATATTTTAATTTTTATTATTTGTTTAATCCTCCATAGTTACTTAAAGAGCTATAAGATTCTAAACTTTTATTATTATTATTATTATTATTATTGCCATTATTTTTATTCATCATACTTTTTATTAATGCTTCTCTTTTATTTTTACTTTGCTCTGATTTGATAATATCATCCAATTCACTACTGCTTAGTTCTTCGTAATATTCCCCAGTGGCTTTCTTTTTTCTTTTCTTTACAACCTCTTCCATCCAACCTACAAAAGTTTGAATAATTGGGACTACCACTTCTATTACCCAAAATACATCTAAAATAGCAAAAAGAATTACAGTTATAATTTGACCAAATGAAATTGAATGTGAGTTCATAACATCGTGATAGAAAACTGATTTTTCGATATGTATATTAAACATAAAAGTAGGAGTTACATCGTGGAATGAATTGGTGTCTAAAAATGATGTAGAATTTGATATAAAACTATATTCTTTATATGATTGACTGTTGTATATACACTTCTCGATCATTGGACGAATTAAAGATAGACCTCGTTCATTTGATTTTATTTTGCAATCAGAGATCATTGTTATCATTGATAGAACTGAAACGGTTGCATCTGGTCTTAAAATGGTACCTTCTAATGGTTGAATGATACCAGAAACATAACTATTGCCTGTGTTTATTGAAGTTTCATTGTTGTTGGTACTAATGTTATAAACAATTCTTTGTGCATAAAAGTAATAGTCATTCATTGGCTTTATGTTAAAATAAAAATCGGTAGTATCACTATATTCGACACCATAATCCAATGTTGTTGTAATTCTACATGATGAGTTGTTTGGTGAGTCTATACCTGTTTTATTATATACTACATCCATTTTTAAATTATACTTGCAAGGTCCCATGAAGTTTTTATTTTGGCAACCGTTAATACTTAAATCAATTTCATCTTTTTGGCAAAGGCCTGAATAACCAAATAAATCTATAGTTAACATCATTGAACTTGTATCGACAAACTGTAAATATTCAGCATCGGAGTAAACCTGTCCTTGAGTGGCGGCACCAGAAGCTTGACCCAGTGATTTTAATTCAGTTGAAATATCACTATTAATTCTTTGGAACTGAATGATAAATATAATCATTAAAACCAAAACCACTAAAAAATAATAGGTACAGAATGCCTCTACAGCTTTGACTGGTTTAACAGCTGTTCTTCTTTTTCTTATAAATACACGACGCTTATATGATTCTCTTGCACTAGTGGAATATTGGATCTGTGATTCTTGAACAGAACTAGGGCTTCTTTCGTAATAGTCAATATCTTCGGTCATCTCTTCCCCATCCCAATCGTAAAAATTGATTTTAAGTAACAGGTCTATAATTTTCTTTTGGCTTTCTTTGTTTTTGCTCCATGGTAAACAAATTACTAGTGTTAAAACAATCATACCACTTAAAATAATTAAAAAGTAAGGGTAGCAAGAGTTGTAAAAGGTAGATTCAAAATCCAATTCCTCTGTTTCGTCGAGATCTGGTACTGTTCTAGATTGAGTAGCAACAACGACACTTTTTAATGGGTATACTGTTCCATCAGGGCAAAACTCATTATTGGTACATGCAATTTGTTGACATTCTTCGATAGATTGCAAACCGTAAACTTGACCAGTTTGCCACCCACCAGGGCAGAGATCACATAGTTCAAAAGAACTATTATCTTGATGAATAGAAGAAACCTCTTTATATTGGCCAGCTTGACAAAGCATACACTTAAAATAATCCGATGACCATTCCATACCAGGTGAGCAAACTTTATAAAAATCGAATCCCATTTTTTTTGATGAGGCATCTTGAGATATAACCAACATCTCTGAACCATAAAAGGATATTCCATATTGATAATCGAAAGTAGTTTTATAATTTAAATTTGGAACCTTTGCTTTAGCACCACTTCTAACTGGATAGCTTGAATTATCAGTAAAAATATCATAAATAAATATATTTCCAGTGATATTTTGGGTTGGGTCACCAGTTGATGAAACCAAAAGCATACTTGAACTAATTGCAATATCCACACCATAACCAACAGCATTTGGTTGGTACACTGTATCAAAAAGAGAAAAGGAAACATTAGACAATGGTACACTTTCACCACAATCGTTACTATTTTCAAGGTATGAGCCACTACTTGAAGAGCTTGAGGAGGATGAAGATGATGACATTGAACTTGATGAAGATGAATTTCTTTGTTTAAAATATAAGTCTACAAACTCCTCTTCAGAGTATCCTATTACAACCCAATTGTCATTTAATGTTATGGTTGAAGGACATGACCTAAAAATAAATAAAATTTATAATTAATAATTAAAACTATAGTGTTAATGTATTTAACAGTTTTTTTAAACTTACTCTGTTCTATGTGTAGATTGCACTAAATAGTCTTTTGATAAAGTTTGATTTATAACCTCCAATACAACAAAAGAACTTTGATATTCTATTTGAATTTGGGATTTGTTTGGAGACATGCAAATACTGCATAAACCAACAACAATTTTATTTTCATAAACATTCAATGAAGTGGGATACATTTGACCTTTACCATCTAAACATGGTTTCCATGATAAATCCTCTACATACAATACTTTTGAACAATTGTTAATTACTTTATCCAACTATTTAAATGAAAAATATCTTATTAATACCATTAATATTATTAAATTAAATATAAAAAAATCATTTACATACGTCTAAAATACAAACTGAAATTGGTGAAGAGGATGTCTTTTTGGAAAGTAAATTATTTTGACATGTAGAGACAATAAAATTTGGACCTATAGCGATTGAGGTACCCAATGAACATTGAAAACTATCCTTAACCTTAACACTTTCTTGAATAAAAAGATAATCACATTTATTATTACTTGTTGAATTGTTAGCGCATGCCTCTATATCGTATATATAAATTGAACCTTCCGATGAATCTCCAATAGCTCCGATTGTAAAATTAGCTCCTAAATAACTTGCACTACCTAAACCCACACTACTACCAAATGATTTTGTTGGTTCATTGATGATTTGAGAAATTTCATATTTATTTGTACTCGAAAAAGGCCTATAGAATTATTTAAATGATAACACAAAATTTAATTTATAATTAAAAAAAAAAAAAAGTTAATAAGTGCAAATAAAAATAATTTGATACATAATATTTAAAAATAAAAAAAATAAAAGAGTAACTATATACATACAAAGTTTTATTTGGTTTGGTTAATAGAGTTGCAAATGACATTCTACTATTTGGATTTGAGCCTATTAAAGCATATCCATTATATTTTGATGTATTAATAACACTTGAGCTTACAATTGTTATTATTAAAATAAATAATCCTATAAAATTTCTCAAACTATTTAAAGTTGAGTCATTCCTTATTATTTTCATTTTTTATTGATTTTTTAACGGTTATTATTATTATTATTATTATTATTACAAAAATTTAAAAAAAAAAAAAATACTATATTTACAAATAAATAAATAAATAAATAAAAAAACTTTGAGATTTGTTTAAATATACATGTGCATTATTATTATAGTTATAGCTATAGTTATTATTATCATTGAAGATTACCATAAAAAAAATTAATAAAAAAAAAATTGGGGTAATAACCTATCAAAAAAAAAAAACTTTGATTGATAAAAAAAAAAAAAAAATTTTAAAAAAAAAAATTTAAAAAGATATTTATTGGTTTGTGTAGGGGTTGTAACAATTTAATACTTTTTCAATACCGTTTGCATTAAAATGAAAGATATAAAGAAAATTCCTAACAAAATAAATAATATGAAAAACTATGATTTTTTTTTATCAATTTTTTTTAAATAAAAAACTAAAAAAAAATTATATATTTTTTTATTTTATTACAATCTCTTTATAATATTTAATAGATTGAGGTTGAATTTGAACAAGCATCAACGTAATCTGGTACTAAAATTGAATAGGCAACTTCAAAGAATGAATCAATTGGACACATAACATCACTACAACCATTTAATGTGAATGATTCACCATTACATTTGAATTGAAGGAAATAGTTTTCTAAAATTAAAAAAAAAAAAAAGTTAATTATTATTATTATTATTATTATTTATTTATTATTGATTATAATACATACTCTTTGAATCAGACCATAATTCAAGTTCGACATGTGAGGCATATGGTGGCCACTCTTTCATTAAACCAAAAAGATTTGTAAATGGACCAACAGAGTCGTCATGACCAGAGAAAAGATAATATTTGGTATTATCAACATTATCAATATAGTTTCTAATGTTTTCAACCATCTCTTCTAAGAAAGTTGACATACCCAAACGAGCAATCATTGGGAATGAAAGTTGGTATGAATATTGCCAGAAAGCAGCTTCATAAGCACCGTCGACCATTTCTTGGGTGATACCAGCTGGAAGTGGGAAGTCGTGACATTGGGTAGCAAAGAATAAATCCATAAATGAGCTCCAACCTGGGAATACGGAAATATCAAGAGCTTGCATAATTTGTTGTTTTAACTCTGTGGTATTTTTAACCCATTCTTGATATTCTGGGGTGCTTGTTGCATTAGCGAGCAAAATAGCAAGTTCTGGGCAAAGAACAGAGTTTGGTGTCATATTTTCATAATAACTATCCATAGTATTAATATTAATAACAGCGATACCTTCACCATTGCTAACTGGAGCTGGTGGGAAGAGAGCAGTTAAATGTGCTTGAGCAGATTGAATAGTTCTTGGTACATCAGTTGAACGTACCCAAATTGTATTTGAATCTGTTAATTGGGTTGGTAATAATTGGTATTTATCAACATAAAGTTCACGAAGGGCTTGACCTAATTGAATGTGTTGTGAATAACCTAAAGAAGTTAATTGACCATCTGAACAATTACCTGGGAAATATTCTCTATTTGGCATATAAACTTTTCTAAATAATCTGTTAACATCTGAAGCTGGTCCTGGGATATTATTTTGACTTGATACCATAAACCAACCTAAATCACAATCCCAAACTGACATATCGGATTTTAATGTGCTATATAATGGAGTTCTATCACCATGTCTAGTTAAAATTTGTACCATTTCTAATGTTAAGTCATTTGTATTTTCTGAAGGATTTGGTACTGGATATTAATATAATTGTTTTTTTGTTTTTTTTTTTTTTTTTTTTATTATATAGATATTTATATAAATTATGTTAATAAAACTGATATTTAATTTTTTTTATTTTAGTATGATACTTACAATTTGCTTGACAATAAAATGGTTTTTGGGAATAAGCAACACCCAATAATGATAAAACCAAAACAACTAATGTTGTTTTAATCATTTTTTTTTTTGTTTTGATCCAAGTGTTAGGGAAATATAAAATAAAAAAATAAATTGACGAATAAATTTTTAAATAAAAAAAAAAAATTTAAAAAAATTATAAAAAAATAAATTTTTTATTCCTCATAAAATTATTAATGCTAATATGTAACTTTTTTTTGGTTAGCAATTAATCTTAAAAAAATCTTTGAGTTAATATTATTATTATATATTATATAAATATTTTTACCTCTAGAGGTAATACTAAATTATATTATCTATTTACTATTTTTATAAACTATTTAATATTTATTCATAAAAAAGAAAGGTTTGGAAATTAAAAGGTTTTTACCATATATAAAAAAAAACATTATTTAAAAAATGATTTAAAAAGAATCTACATGTATATAAAAATATAAAAAATTAAATAAAAAAAAAATAAAAAAATAAAATAAAAATAAAAAAAAAAAATTAAATATTAAATTAAATTTAAAAAAAATATATTATTTTCAATTTCACATCCACACAAATACAAATAATTAAATCTAATATATATAAATTTTAATAAAAGATAAAAAATTTTATAAGATTAATATTATAATAAAAATAAAAAAAAAAAAAAAAAAAATTTTATGTTTAAAAAAATGATTAAGGTTGCATCCAAGACACCTGTAGTATTTAAAGATAGAGAAGATGCAGGTAGTCAATTATTAAACTTTATTAAAAAAGAGTTTAAAGAAAGCGAAATTACCCCAGAGAAAATGTTAATTGTAGCACTACCTCGTGGTGGAGTGCCAGTAGCATATCCAATTTCATCAGCTCTTAAATTACCATTGGATCTGGCCACTCCTCGTAAAATAGGTGCTCCTGGTCACGAAGAGTATGCTATAGGTGCTGTAGCAGAACAAGGGGAAGCATTCATCAATGAAGAATGTAAATCATTTCTTTCATTCAATAAAAATGCTATAAACCAGGAAATCGAAAAGCAAAAAGAAGAATCTAAAAGAAGACAACAAGTGTATAAAAAAAATAGAAAACCAATCGACTATCAAAATAAAACGATTATTATTGTAGATGGTAAATATAAATCTTTTAAAAAATATATTTTTTAATAAGTAGAGCTAATAGGATTTTCTTTTTAAAACACAGATGGTATTGCCACAGGTTCAACAATGAGAGCAGCTATTAACTCTATACACACCAAAAATCCCAAAAAAATTGTTATAGCAGTTCCAACAGCTCCAATGGACTCATTAGAAGAAATAGCCAAGATAGACAAAGTTAATGAAATTTTATGTATCTCAACACCTCGCGATTTTATGGCAGTTGGTTGTTTTTATGATACCTTTGATCAGACCAATGATGAAACTGTTATTGAATTATTAGAAAAGTCAATCAATTAAAAAAAAAAATAAAAAAAAATAATATTTAATTTAAATAATAATAACTTTATGTTATAATTCACATTTTATTTTTTTTTTTATAATAATTATTAAATTTTAATATTTTATCTTTAAGATATTTAGACTGGTCAATAAAAAAAAACCCACATATTTTTTTATATTCACCTTTTTTTATTTTTTTTTGTTTTTTTTTTTATAATTTTAAATAAATAAATTTAAAAAAACCTTTTTTATTAATATTCTTTATAAAATATATTTAACAATTCATTTATAAAAATAAATAAAAGTTAAAGCAGTTAAATAATTTATTTTTTAAAAAAAAAATTATTTTTTTTTATTTTTTTTTATTTTATTTTTTTTATTTTACATTTTTCTTGAGAAATTGCAAAAAAATCTTTTATTTTGTGTAATAAAATTTCTTAACAATTTGTTTTGCAAAAGCTCAATAATAAGAAATAAAAGAGTGTTTTGATTGGTCAATTTCAAAAAAAAACCAAATTAAATCAAACCTAAACCAATCAAAATAAAATAAAATAAAATAAAACAAAAATCAAACCAATTAATTAATCAATAATTAAATTACAATAATAATTAATTTATTAATTATTTAATTCAGAGTATATTTTATAAAAATTATCTTTATTAGAAAATCAAAGAATAATAATAAAAACAATAATAAAAAATCATTTACCAAAAATCAAGTAAAAGATAAATTTAAAAAAATGATTCACAATGTTGCACATTATAAAAAAAACAAATGGTATACAAAACAGCATTTAATTGATTGGTTTACATGCGCAGGTATATTTATAACAGAGAGTATTATATTCAACTTTGTATTACAACCAAATGTTAGATACGAACCAGATGGATCCAATTTTCAAGCAGTTCAATACCCACTTCTTCCAGATATTGTTCCAGCATGGTTATTAATGATTATAGCCATTGTTTTACCAATGATTGTTTTCTTGGGATTCTTTATTAACCATCGTAATGGTCACGATCTCCATCATGCAGCACTTGGTTTATTCCAAGCATTCACCATTACAATGTTATTTACAGACACATTAAAGATTATTGCTGGTCGTTTAAGACCAGATTATGGTGCCAGAGTCGCATTAAATGATGCTGCTTTAATTAGAGACGGAAGACAATCATTCCCAAGTGGTCATAGTTCAGTTTCATTCTGCGGTATGACCTTTTTAGCTTTCTATCTTTGTGGTAAAACCAGAGTTTTCCTTAGAGATGGGGGTAATATTTTCACAGCTTTAATTTGTTTATCACCATTTATGGTTTCTAGTTTAGTTGCTGTATCACGTGTTGTTGATTACCACCACAATTTCGATGGTAAATATTTACAATTACTAAAATATCAATAGATAACATTCTAACTTTTAATTTATTTATAGATATTCTTGCAGGCTCAGTACTTGGTTTAGCAATTAGTTCATTTGTTTATTTTATGAATTTCAATTCCTTATTCTCTAAACAATGTTCATTACCAAAGAATAGAATCAATCCACATTATGCCAAGAATGCCTTAATTACAAATGAAGATTATGTTAGTCTTTCATTCTCCCAAGAGGCCTAAAAGCAATAACAATAATACACTTAATATATATACAAACAACGATCATACAACCTTTTTTTATAATTATAAAAAAGTAATAACATTATCAATGTGTAAAATAAAGATTTAAAAAAAAAAATACTCTTTATACATTTATGTTTTTATTTTATAAATAAATTTAGTTATATTATTTTCTAAAATAATACAACCTAAATTTTATTTATTGTCAATTTACAATATATAAATTAAATGTTTTTTTTTCTTTTCATTTTCTGTAAATTTATAAATAGTTTTGTTTTTGGTTGCGGTGGTTTTGACGAAAGGGGTGTTATGGTGGCGTTATGAAATGAGTATAATGGATGCGGTGATAGTTGATGATGACGGTTAAGGTATAATGATTGGTAAATAATATAATAATTTGTTTTGATTTTTTTTATGTGTTGAGCAAGCGCCTAAAGCATTATTTTGCTGCTGCTGCTGCTTGTTCATGACGCCATTCAACATAATTATCTAAAAGAACTGGCCATGCTCCATTTTCATCATAATTTGAAACATCTGCATTGATGGCCTTACAAAATTCTAAAATCGAGAGCCATTGATCCATATTTAAAACTTTATAAGCTTTTTGCTAAAAATTAATAAAAAAATAAAATGTTAATATTAATATTACAATAACAATGTTATAATGTTATTATTCTATAAACTATTCATACTTGTAATAAAAATTCTTGGAGTTGTTCTGTGTGTGGATATCTATTGCCTAAAATTAATTGAAGCATGCTACAAGCACTTTCTAAATCTATTGTTTTGGTATTTTCATTTTCTTTTGAAAATATAAATGCAAATCTATAAATATCTTTAAAGTTATTGTGATCATCTAAATCTTTTTTAAAATTTGGTAAATGTGATTGAAGTTTTTGTAATGAATCAATACCTAATTTTGATAATCCACCAACAAATTCCGATTTTGAAAAATATCCCATTTGCTTAGCTCCTAAATGCCATGCTAAAACTAATACAACAACCTATAATAGTAGAGATGGTGGCAATCGATTAGTAATGAAAATTAGGAAAAAAAAAAGATAATTTAAAAACCTACATCCTCTGGTTCAACATTTAAGTCTTTACATAGTTTTGTTATACCATCTGGTCCAATTACATTTGGATCTTCGTGATCTCTATATTTTTCATAAAACTCTTCTAATCTTTTAGATTTATCTTCTTTACTATTTCTTTAGAAAATTTAATGATAATAAATTAATAAGTTTTTCTTTTTTTTCTTTTTATTTTTTTATATTAGCACACTTACGAAATTGAAACTTTATTATTGACATTATTAACACTAGTTTGAGTTGTACCATTGTTACCAACTGTACTATTATTAGTTTGAACTTTAGTATTGGTATTTGTATTTGATATATTATTGTTTGGTGTGGGATTTTGTGTATTTATAGTTGTCGAAGCTGGTGGGCTAGTTACAGTTTCTATTTTATTATTATTATTAATTAAATTTTACTATTAGATTTTATAATTAAATTTATCAATTTAATTAATTATGAAAAACTTTAGAACATACCAATCTTTTTTTTATTATTTGGAACACCAAATATTGGATGTGATTTTTTTGAAGTATTATTACCCATTTTTAAAAGCTATTACCAATATTATACAAAAAAAATTAAAAAAATAAAAACAAATTAAAAATATAAACAAATAAGAAACTTTACTGTTTTTATGTTAATTTAATTAAATTAGTATAAAATGGATGATTATATATTTATATTTATATTATTATTGGAATATTTAATAAAAAAATGAAACAAAAAAACAAAATAAAATATTTTTATAATAATTATATTTTATTAATTTACAATGATAATTATGGATGATGGTGAATAAATTAAAATAAAATAAAGATATATATATATAATATACAATAACTACACAAAAAATTAAAAAAAAAATAAAAAAATAAAAAAAAAGATAATTAAAAAAAAATAAAAAAAATTAAAAAATAAAAAATTTTTTTAAAAATAAAATAATTTTTAAAAAAAAATAATAACAAATTTTATTATTAATATATTAATATATCAATTTACTCTTTTTCACTCTTTATTTAATTACACCAAATAAAAAACAATTATATAATCAAAATAAATAAATTTTAAAAATTGTTGATTTTTTTTAAAGATTATATTTTTTTTATTTGTTAAATTTTAAAAAAAAAAAAAAAAAAAAAAAAAATAAAAAATAAAAAATTTATTTAAAAAAAAAATTTTATAAATAATAATTTCTTTTTTTTATTTTTTTTTTGTTTTTTTTTTTTTTATTTAAAAAAAAATTTTGAAATTTTTTCATCGAATCAATCAAGTTGGCATATAGCTGCATGTTTGCTTTCTTGTGCACAATCAATATCAAACTACCATACATCAAAAAGTTAAAAATAAAAAAAAAATAAAAATGAATAGAAATAATTCAAGTGATGATTTTTTTGGCTCGGATAATGAAGATGGTGATTATTCATTGAATAATGACTTAAATAGAACCGTTCAACGTATTTCACCTGTATGTGTATATAAATAATGTGCAGTTATTAACTTTTATCAATTATCATAATTGTTTTTTACTTTTTTTTTTTTCAATTAAATTAATATATCATTTTAATTATAATAAAATTAGATTGGATATTCCGATGGGTTAGAGATTGGTAAGGAGAAAACATTACAAAGAGGTTTTAACGAAGGTTTTAAACAAGCATCAGAACAAAGCTATAAATGGTCTTTGTTATTGGGTTTAGTTAGTTCAGTAGATGTATTTTTTCACCATAACAAACAATTTGCAAATGGTAAAGATACTTCCGTTTTAGGTGATTTAGTCGATAAAATTAATAAGGTCATTAAAGAACAATGCTCATCACCAACTATTGAAGAGTTAAAGGCCCAATTTTTTAATTTTAAAGATGAAAGTGATAACGAAAAAAACAATAGCGATGATGAAATCAATGAAAACGATTTCCTTTCAAAAACAACCATTTCAGCAGCAGCAGCAGGAACAACTACAACTACAACCAATACTACAAGTACATCAGAAAACGAATCAATTGATAGTTGTTGTAAATCAAATAATATTCAAAAAGATAAATGTTGTGGTGATGAAGGCACTTGCAAAACAGATAACAAAAGCAATATGGCCAATGATAATTGCTGTGGCGGTGACAATAAAGGATCTTGTGACTCAAATAAAACAAATGAGGAGGATAGTGGATGCTGTGGCGGTAGCGGTAATGATGAAGGTTGTTGTAAATCAAATAAAACAAATGAAAACGAACTAAAAGAATTTAAATTTGTTATCGAAATGGGCGGTCAATTATTTGAAGACCTCTCAAAAGAATGTGTATCAACCATTTCATCATTTGGTCTTGATGGTCAAAATATGTTAGATAATTGTTTAGCAAAGAAGTTTAGGGTCACTATAAACTAAGGCGCTGTAAAAGCTGTTGTTGCAAATAATAAAAAGGGTGGCAGTAGGGAAGATCTTTATGGAAACACCGACAATGATGATGATGATGGTGATGATGACGAAGATAATATGAATATCACCATACAAAACACACCCCCACAATCACAATATTATCATTTATCGATTTTTTTTTTTTTTTTTTTTTTTTGCACATATCAAGTAATTTTATTTATAAAAATATTTATTTTTAGATACTCGATTATAAAACAAAAAATTAATATTAATTTTTTCACTTAATATTCTCACACTCCTCACCAATTATGGTAAATAAATAAATAAATTTATTATAGTAACCATTTAATCAAATTGTATTTAATTTTTTAAATTTAATTTTTCAATTACTATTACTATTTTTTCAAATTTAATTTAATTTTTTCATTATTATAAATTTATTTTACAAAATAATAAAAATTTAACAAAATTATATATATACACACACATTACCACACTCTTTATTGAATTTATTATTTTTTTAATTTATTATAAATTATTTTTTAATTTTAAATTATTTAAAATTTAAACAAAAACGATAAATAATTATTTTTTTTTTTTTTTTAATTATTATTACATAATTATAATTATTAGTTTAATATATACAAATAAATTTCAATTTTAAACAACAACAACAACAACAACAAAAACAACAAATAATATTATTTAGCACATGTAATTAAAAATATTTATTATTATTATCTAAAATAGACAATACAAAAATAATAATTAACATCTACTAATATAAACTTATTTTTATTTTTTCTATTTTTTTCTACCTTTCACTCACTTAATTTTTTAAATAATTTATTTTATTTTTTAATTTTTTTTTTTTAATTTAATTTTATATTTTGAATTAATTTATTTTTTAATTTTATAAATTTTATTTTTTTTATTATTTTTTTTATTACACATTTTAAAATTTATATATATTGTTTTCTTATCTATATTATATTATATTTAGAATTATTCACAACAAAAATGGTAGAATTATATGACTCTTATGTAAGTTTTTAAAAATATTAATTTTGTGTGTTAAAATAATTTTAGGTGTTTGTTTTATAGCTTGTGTGTTTTTATTTTTTTTAAAATTTTTTCAAGTTTTATATACTAATAATTATTTTATTTTTTAGGGAATTAAAATTTATGTTGATCATAATAAAACAACAATCAAAGGTATCGATTTACAGAAAAAGTTGGCAAAATTCTTTTTAAATAAAAAAGTTCCATACTCTTTAATCTCAATCTTTGATATTGCAAATAATTTTGATATTCAAAAAAGAATTAAAGACCACTGTAAAAGAATTCCAAGATATCCATATATTGAAATTAATGGTCAATTATGGGGTGTAAATATTTTAACAATATAATTATAATTTTATAATTTAGGTATATTAATGTTTTTTTTTTTTATAATTAATAGGAGGGAATTGCCATAGAAGACTCACCACAACTTAACGAATTAATTAGTACTCTTATTAAATATGGTAACGAAGAAAATGAAAATAATAAAATTGTTGATGCATTCATCTCTGATAAAATCGAAGATATCGAAGAAATCGAACAAAAAGAAACTCTTTCAGTTGGTTATTTAGATTCTGGCTTAAATATATTGGAATGGATATCATTCGGATTGGTCTCAAATATTTGGAACCCATGGTCTACCCCTATCGAACCAGTTAATGATGAAGCAGATTTCGAATGTGACACTATTCGTACCAATTGGTATGGTAGACACCAATATAGAAAGTATAGATTCACTCCAACCGAAATATATAGAATTCATAACAATCTAATTAGAACTACTCTTCACTATAGAGATATTCAACAACTTATTCTTGTTGATAAAAAAAATATAATTATTAAGTAAGTAAAAAAATATAAAAAACAATTTCACCATTTATTAAAAAACAATTTACTTATTATTTTTTTTATTTTATTTAAAAAAAGAATTTTAAATATCGAAGATCAATACATTCAAGCCTTAGAAGACGATATTATTAAAATGATTGATACAATTACATCAAGAGCCTATTTAGTTCCAGATGGAGAAAGCAAATGGATATCAAATATCGTTACAAATTAATTGGAAAAAAAAAATAATATAATTATTTTTTTTTAATTTAATATATATACTTCAAATTTATAACTTATATATTTATTATATATGATTTATTAAAAAAAAAAAATCATAAATCATAAAGCAAACTAAACAGTGGGACAATACATATTCAAATTAAACCAACTCTATATAACTACTATATATTTTTATCTATTTATTTAATGTAATAAAATATTTTAAATAAAAAAAACATATCCCATTTTATGTATTTAAAAGTTTTCCTTTTATGTTTTTTATTTTATTTTTATTTTTCTTATCAACAAATAAATAGTATTATTTTAATCAAAAAATAATCAAGTGTGAACAAACACAAAAAAAAAAATTAATTTTTTTTTTAATTTTTTTTTCTTTTTTTTAATTTATTTTTTTTAAAATTTTTTTTTTTTTTTTAATAATTTAAAATTATTTTTTTCTTTTTTTTTTATTTTTTTAATTTAATTTTGTCAAGTTCATTATTACATATTATTGTTATTATATATATATATTTTTAAAAAATGGCCCAATATAAACCACTTGAATATTTAGAACATTTAAAAAAGATTGTTCCTGATTATGTTGATCAAATCAATGCTATCAGAGAAACATACGATAATAAGTAAGATCACACAAATTTGGAAAATAAAAAAAACAAACCCTTTATTAAAATCAATTTACTAACTACTATAATTTTATCTCTATAGATTATGGCATCAATTAACTAAACTTATTGAAGTATTTGTTATTACACCACAAATGCTCGAAAAGAAAGAATTACATAACTTTTATAATAATTTTATCAAAGATTTTGAAGCCAAATTAAAACCATTAAGTTTAGTAGAAATTTGTATTGCCATTGCCAGACAATTTGGTAAGATTTATAAATTTATAAATATACTTATAAAATCGATCATTATATTTATAAAAATTTAATTATTTATCATTTATTTAGATATTGATGAATCAAGAAAATTCATTGAAAGTATTTCAAAAAAAGTTTCAAAAGATAAATCAGCATACATTTTATCATTATCATATATGGCAAATTCAAATTTACGTGCAGGTACAGATCAATTACAAGAATGTAAAAAAACATTAGAAATCGCCAAAGAAGAATTACAAGGTATTACTGGTTTAGATTGGATTGTTTATTCATCATTTTATCGTGTTAGCACTGACTACTATATGGTAATAGATTTCTACATATATATTATTTTAATATTAAAAACATTAATAATACTAACCATATTTTATTTTTTTAGGCCAAAAACCAAGCTAGCGAATTTTATAAAAATGCTTTAATGTACTTATCATATTGTAAATTAGAAACTATTCCACAAGAAGAACAAGCTAGTCTTGCCTATAACCTTTGTATTGCTGCTTTAGTTGGTGAAAATGTTTATGGTTTTGGTGATTTAGTAATTATCATTTATAATCTTATTATTACCATGTCAAATAAAAACACACATATTAATATTTTATTTTATTTTATTTAGATCGCAAATCCAATTCTTAAGGCATTAGAAGGATCACAACATTCATGGTTAATTGCATTTTTAAAAGCATTTAATATTGGTGATATTGCTCAATTTGAACAATTAATGTCACAACATCGTGATATTATCTCACAACAAACAGCCATCACAAACAATATGCAAAAGCTCAGACAAAAGATTTCAATTCTTGCACTTTTAGAATTAGCTTTTAGAACACCATCAGATCAAAGATCAATTTCATTCCAAAAGATTGCTCAAGCCACTAAACTTCCAGATACTGAAATCGAACATCTTTTAATGAAATCCCTCTCATTAGGTCTTATTAAAGGTTCAATTGATCAAACTGTTCAAATTATTCATATCACTTGGGTAACTCCAAGAATTTTAGATCTCAATCAAATCAACTCTATGAATAACAGAATCACAGAATGGTTCAACAAAACAAAATCATCATTAAAAATTGTTGAAGACGATACTGTCGATTTAGTTGCTTAAATATTATAACATTAACAATAAAAAAATAAATAAAATAAAATAAAAAAAAAAAATAAAAAAATTGATCTTTTTAGTCCCACAACACATTATTTTTTAAACATATTATCTTTTTTAAAAAAAGATACGCATTAATAATAATAATAATAATACTATAATTATATTTTTTTTAATTTTTTTAAATGTTATATTTATTTGTTTTTTTTTTTTTTTGTTTTTTTTGTTTATGTGTATATATTTTAAAAAATTATTGATTATTCTGGTATAATTCTATCAGCAACTTTTGGATTTGATTTTGGTCTTACAATGGTATAAATAATAACAAAAATAATAGCGATAACAATTAAAAGAATAAGACCCATAATAATTTTATCAGTAGCCATCTTTCTTGCAAATGCTCTCATTTGTCTGGTTGCTAATTTTAAGTTACTATCGACTTCTTCCATATCTTTTTGAATTCTTTTCATTTGCTCCTCTTGTACAGCCATTTCTTCGAGGGTTGATGTACCAGCTTGATTCATGTTAGCAACATCCATTTCAATTCTACGAACTGCATCTAAATCTTTCTTTTGAATATTTTTGGCTTGGTTTAAAATTTGTGTGGTTTCTTCATTTTGAGTTTGAACTCCATTCGATTGTACAGTTGCTGCAGCAGGAGATCCTGATCCATCATCTCTTTCTGCCCAATTTAAATCATTTTCTAATTTCTTTAATTTCTCTTCATATTCGTTTGCTTTTTCTTGAAATGGTTTTTGATCACCCTTGGGTAATTCTCTAAAATCTAATTTATATGATCTTAAAATTTGTTTTGCTCTAGTTAATCTATTCCTTAATAATGCTACAGTCTAAATAATAGTAATAATATAATAATAATAATAATTAGTAAATGAATAAAGATATAAAGATATAACTATAATAACCACGATTCTTACACCTGCAACATCTCTTCTATTTTTTGAAAGGTTTTTAATACCCAACTCTAACTCTTTTGCGATAGATTCAAATTCTGCTTCTGTTTCTTGAAAATCGGCCATGATTTATAAATTTTGTATATATTGTTTTTTTCTGTGTTTATATTATTTTAAAACTATAATGCCCTATTATAGATTTAATTTGTTTAATATAAATTTTAAAAAGTGATTATTTATTATTACAATGCAATATGGAACAAAAAAAAAAAATTTATGGCTTGTGAGAATATAATTAAAAAATATTAATTAATTATATAAAAAAAAAAAAAAACAATTATTATGTATTTTTTTATTTATCACACCCACAAAAAAAAAAAAACGCACACAGATGAAAATTTAAATTTAAATATATATAGTTATATAAATATTGTGAAATAAATAAATAATTTAAACAAAACTTTATAAATAAATATAAAATTAATTAAAAGAAAAAAAAAAATAACAACAAGATGAGATGAAATATTAATACAAATAATAAAATAATTTTTTTAACCAAAAATTTTTTTTTTTTTTTTTTTTATGAAAAAATTTAAAAAAAAAAAATTATAAAAAATAAAATTAAAATTAAAAAAAAAATTTTTCGTTAAAATATATTTTGTGTGTGCGTTAGCAACGTGGATGGTGTCAAGAAAGAAATCAATGTAATCATTTTTTTTTTTTTTTTTTTTTTTTTTCAAGAAAACAAATAAATTTTTCTGATAACTTTTTTCAAACATCCATATGTGAAGTATAATAAATCTTAAAAACTAAAAAATTAAAATAAAAAATTTAAATAAAATAATAAATTAAATTTTGTTAGTTTTTTTATTTAAATAATCAAAGTTATCAAAGTAATCAAAGTAATCAAAAATAATCAAAGTAATCAAAACAATCAAAATAATCAAATGAATAGATAAATTAAAAAAAATAATAGTTATCGATAAATAAAAAATAAAAAATAACAAATAACAAATTTTTTTTTTTTTTATTAATATTTATTTGTTTTATTTTTAATTTGTTTTAACAAATACTGAAAATTTATTAAAAACCAATAAAAAACCATCCTCTCAACATTATTGAGTTTAAACAATCTGTTAATAGTGGAGGAATTAATATTGGTGTTTTAAATTGTAGTGAATTAAGACCTATTGGTCAAGTGATGTTCAAAGTAATTTAGTATTGGATCTATACAAAGAGATTTAACAAATATCAGATCAATTTCCAAAGATCCCATGACACCACTAGCTTTATCATCTAAATCGAATGTTGGTGAAATACTAGGCGAACATATCAATGACTTTTGAAACTTGATTGCTTTTTTTATTTTGAAATCCATAAAAAAAAGATTTTACACCCAATTTCAAATAAAAAAACAGTGCTGTTTTTTTTTTTAATAATTTTTTTTTTTTATAAATCTTTATTTGGTTTATTTATTAATTATTATCGATTTAATAAATTAAATTTATTCAATATTAAAATAAAATATTTATTTTTTTTTTTGGTAGTTTTTTTTTTTTAAAAATATTTTAAAATTTTTTTTTTTTAATTTTTAAAAATTTTTTTTTTATTATTTTTTATAATTTTAATTAAAATTAAAACATCTCTTTTATATTTAAAATATAATAATACATTATTAATATTATAAATATATAAATATGGACGCAGAGCAAATTAGAAATCAATATAGTTCTGTTAGTTTAGATGATATTGTAAAGCAAGATAGAAAAGAAAAGAAAAGAGGTAGAGGTTTCACCAAAAATAATAACAGCAACAATAATAATAATAATAATAATAATAATGGCAATGGGTCACCAAAAACCGAATCACCAAAATTAAATGTATTGGAGTCTTCACTAGATGATATTGTTAAATCAAATCAACCAGGAAAAAAACCATATATTAAAAAAACACAAAACTATAACAATAATAATCAACAAAACCTTAAGGTCACATTTAAGAATAATATGAATAACAATAATAGACCAGGATATCAACAACAGGAACAATATCCAATGAATGGCGGCCGTATGCAATTCAATAATAAAGGTTTATTCAATAGAAATAATAATATGAATAACAGACAATTCTCACCACCACAACACAGAGGAAAATTTGTAAATCATCGTAATAACAACAAATTAAAGAATATACCAAGAACTAGAATTACAGATTCAATTGACCATACATTTTTCGATCCACGTGGTATTAGAGATTATAGTAACGTAAAAAAACCAACAACAGCAAGTATGAATAAACCGCAACAAGAATCAGAAGACGTTGACGAGCCAGAATATGACGAACACGGAAACGAATTAAGCTATAGTGTTAAAGTTGTAAACTTACCAAAAACCGTTATTCAAAGTGATATTGCCTATATCTTTGGTGTTATTGGCGCTCTCAAGGACTTTGAACTTGATAACGAAAAATGTGAAGCAACCGTTATCTTTAAAAAGAAGGCCCATGCTTTAGCCTCAATCGAAAGATATAACGCTGTTGAATTAGATAATTCTTTATTAATTCTTTACGAAATCGACAAACCATTAACCAAAAATCAAATTGATGAAAAAATTGCAAATGCAACCTTAAAAAAAGAACAACAACAACAACAAGATGAAGCAGATGTTGGAGATTTGGAGGAACAATATGACGGATTAGACGGGGAAATGGAAGAATAAGTTATCACTTTTTTTTTTTTTAATTTAAAAAAAAAAAAAACCAAAAAAAAGAAAAAAAAAACCAAAAAATATATTTAAAAAAAAACATCAAATCATTTATAATAATCCCAAATAAAACTATTTGTATATTATATTTTTTTTAAAGGAATATTGTTTTATTTATATCTTTTTTTTTTTTTTTTTTTTTTTTTTACCTTTAAAAATTTATTTAAAATTTTTTTTCAAATTTTTTTTTTTTTTTTTTTCAATTTTTTTAAAATTATTTTTTATTATTTTTTCTTTTATATTTTAAAATTTTTCATATTATTGTTTTTCAATATTAATATATTTATTTAATCTATAAATAATTTACATTCATTGTTTTATTATTTATTTTGTTTTTTATTTTTTTATTTTTTTTATTTTTTTATTTCATTTAAAATTAAACAATAAATAGAGCTATGGATATGTCATTGGAACAAATTATAAAAAATGAAAGAAAGGGCAGTAGAGCACGTGGAAAAAGTGCTGGAACACCAATTAAAACTACATCATCACTACCATCAAGTAAAAGAGGCTCAAGGGTACTGTTGCTTTTTTTTTTTTTAATGTTTCATCTATCATTAATTATTAACCATAGTTATTTAAACCGTTATTAGGGTTCAACTAAATTTACAGCTAGATTAGATATAGACAAAACAAAGAAAATATTAAAACCAAAGAAAACTTTTATAAAATCGACAACAACAACAACAACAATCCCTGCTACCTCTACTACCACACCAATCCGTCCACCACCATTAAAAATTACATTCCAAAACAATACCAAACCAAAAACAACATCACCAAAACTTATTTCAAGAAAAGAAGATCGTGAAAGTAGACCAGCTATAGCTTTGGATAGAATTAAAGTAACAAAATCAATCTCATCACCAGCAAGAAAAACATCACATATTGTATCACCAAGAAGAGAAAGAGGATTAACTACAAAAAGAAACAATAATTTCAACAACTTCCACAACGATGATAATGAATATCCACAAACAATAAATACAAGAAAACAATTTGGTAATGGCCCAACACTTTTTGAAAGAAATTCAGTATCACATAGAGGTGGAGGTGGACCAAGCGGAAAGAATCTTCAACTATTCACAGGCTCAAGATTAAACATTTCAAATCTTCACCACGCAATTACAATAAATGATTTAAGATTAGTATTCGAAAAAATTGGTGAAATCAAAACAATTAAAATTAATTATGACAGATCTGGTAGATCAGAAGGTTCTGGTTATGTCGTTTTTTCAAAAGATGTTGATGCCAAACATGCCTATGAAAGATATAATGGTGCTCAACTTGATGGTTTACATATAGTAATTACAAAAGGTCATAGTCTTCAAGAAGATATAAGAGATTTATATTAAACTATTATAGAATTTTTTTTAAAAAAAATAAAAAATAAAAAAAATAAAAATAAACAAATAAAAAAACACTATTTCTTTTTTTCTCTTTTTTTTTAATTATCTTTTATTTTTTTATTCTTTTATTTTTAATTTTCATTTAAAAAATATATTTAAAATATCCACAAACTTTACATTACATTTATATGTTCAATCCCCATTACCATAAAAGAAAAAGAAAAAAAAAAAAAATAAAAAAAAAATAAAATCTTTTTTCCCAAATTAAATTCAAAAACAAAAAAATCTTTTAATATTTTTTTCCATAAAAAGAGGTCCTTTTATTTTTGTAAATATTACACTATAATTTATTTTTTAGAAATATGTAAATATAAAAAATAAATTATTTTTATATTTTTAAAAACATTCATTGGATTTTTTCCTCCTAATCATTAAAAAAAAAATCATAATAAATTTATTTTATTTTATTTTTTTAAATTTTTTTTTTATTTTTTTTTTTATATCCAATAAAAATTTTTTTCCTTTCCATTTTTTTTTTTTTTTTTTTATCTCCTACACACATAGCATATAATAAATAATAAATAATAATTAAATAATTGATTAATTTTAAAATTAATAATAATAATTTTTTTATTTTTTTTTTCTTTTCTTGTTGTACAATAGTCTAAAATTTTTTCATAAAGAGATAAATTAAATAAAATATCTATCAATCAATCAAATTAATCAAAAAAAAGAAAAAAATCAAATGTCAAAACATAATATAATAGCCGGTATAGTTACCGTCCTTTTTCTTGGTGCAATTATTGGTTTGAATGTTTTCTCTTTCTTACCTGCAACCGCTTGGTATGCTTTCAATTTAAATATTTCACCATTCAGTTATGAGGTTGATATAAATAGACAAGGTCTTTTTTATCACGATAAGCCATATGACTGGAACGACCAATCACAAAGTCGTGATGTAATGTTTATTTCATTCGGACTTATTTTAGTTTCATTTGTTTTCGTAAGTAAAAAAAAAAAAAAAAAAATTATTATAAAAATAAAAAATATTTACCAATCATAATTTTATTTTTATCTTTTTAGTCATGTATCTGTATTTTAATCACCTTAGTTGCTTTATTCAAACGTGTTCATAAAAAAGTTAGAAAGTCATTATTTGTAATGTCAATTCTTGTTTTCCTTGCCAATGGTCTTGCTTCACTTTTATTCCTTAGATTCAACAAAGCTTTATGCAATGATTTACCAAGTTTACCTCTTCCAGCTGGCTCCACTGGCCCACTTAATGGTTCAGATATTTGCAACAAATTCAAAGGTAGTTATGCCGATGGTATCTTAACATGGGGTCCAGGAATTGGTTGGATTTGCTCTGTCGTAGCTTTCGGTATCAGTTTCTTTACCATCTTCCTCTGCAGCAAAATACTTAAAACCAAAAAGTTTGGTTACCATGTCATGTATGTATCTCCTATATCTAAATTATAAAAATTTACCTTGCAACAAATACTAATTTTTACTTTTTTTTTTTTTTTACAATCTAGTCCATAAAATAATTTAAAAAAAATTGTTCTATAGATCAATCACATTCCGAAAAAAAAAAAAAAAAAAAAAAAGATTTCAAAACATTTAAATTTTATGATTTAAAATTAAAAAAAAATTAATAGATAAAAAAAAAAAAGATATTCTTTTTTCATATATTATCTTTTATTTTATTTTTAGTTGGTTATATAGAATTAAATAAAATATCATAAAATTTCAACTTTTTAATTTTAATTTTTATTTTTATTTATAAATAGTTAACCAATACCATTTAACTGTTTAAAAAGATATTTTTATTTCATTTTCTTTTAACTTTTATTCAAATTTGATTGTAATTTGAAAAAAACTTTCGTTTTTTTTTCTAAACCTCCTTTTTTTTATTTTTTTTTTAAAATTTTTTTTTAATTTTTTTTTTTTTTAAAAATAATATTTTTCACAAAATTTTTTTTTTTTTAAATTCGTTTTCATCCATCCTATATATATATAAAAAGATAAAATGTTTTGGGGTATCGAAGTATCATCAAAAGAAGTCAAATTTACACCAAGTTTCGATCTTCATGTTACTACTGCTTGTTTAGCAGCCACAGCCAAAGAAGGTCGTACTGTTTTACAAATTAAATATGACGGTAAAACTTATTGCATTTGCTCATTAAGATTAAATGGCTCAGAAAGCGCTGTCTTAGATACCAACTTTGAAGAAGGTAAAGAAGTTATCTTCCAAGCTATTGGTCCAAACACAATCCATCTTACTGGTTATTTTGTTGATTCAATGTATGGTGATGAAGAAGGTGAAGGTCAAGAACAAGAAGATGATGAAGAAGAAGAAGACGAAGAAGAAGAAGAAGAAGAAGATGAAGAAGAAGAAGATGATGAAGAAGATGAGGAAGAACTCGAACAACTTATTTTAAAAAAAAGAAAGGCTGAAATCCAAGCTAAACAACAACAAGAAAAAAAACCAAAAGTTGAAGCTGCTCCAGTTAAATCACAAAGCCCAGCCAAACCAGCTCAACAAGTTGCTGCCAAAAAAGAAGCTACCCCAGTTAAACCAGCTCAACAAGTTGCTGCCAAAAAAGAAACCACCCCAGCCAAACCACAAAGCCCAGCTAAACCACAACCAGTTGCCAAAGCTCCAGCTAGAACTGCCATCGTTACATTAAAGAATGGTTTACAATATGAAGATATCGTTGTTGGTACTGGTGTTTCACCAAAAGCCGGTAAAAAGGTTGGTGTCAAATATATTGGTAAACTTACCAATGGTAAAACTTTTGATTCATCACTTAGATCTCCATTCGATTTCCGTATTGGTGTTAGAGAAGTTATCTCTGGTTGGGATATTGGTGTCATGGGTATGAAAGTTGGTGGTAAGAGACGTTTAATCATTCCATCAAACTTAGCATACGGTGGTCAATCATTACCAGGTATTCCAGCTAACTCAACCTTAATTTTCGATGTTGAACTTATCAATGCCCAACAATAATTTTTTTAAATACAATAATATAATAATAATAATAATAACAATACAATAAATAATAATATAATAATTATAATATTAAATTCGAAAAAAGAAAAGTTAAAATTACAGCAGTTGCACCCTCCATCAAATTATAAATAATAATAGTATTTATAAAAATAAAAAACTAAAAACTAAAAAAAAAAAAAAGAAAAAATTAAAAATAATATAAAAAAATTTTTAAAAACAATCATTATAAAAAAGTGTAGCAATTATTATTTATATATATTTTTTTTAAAAGACTATTTAACAAGTATAATACTACTACAGATAATAGTATTATTTTTATTTTTTTTTTACTTTTTTTTTTACAATTAAAATTTTAAAATATTAGTTGACAATAATAACAGAGCTTAGATTTGAATTTGATTGTGACAACAAAATATATTTTTTTGCTCTTTCTTTGGACTTTAAAATATTATCTTCGTAAGTTGAGGCGGCTTTACCAATTGCTTTACCTTGTTTTTCCATTAGTTCGTTATTTAAAAGTTTTCCTAATCTCTCTTTAATTCTTCCTTTGACCATCTCTTCTATTTTTGTATTTTTTCTTGCCGGTCTTGGTTCTAAAAGATCATCCAATACTTTTATACTATTTGTGATTGATAGATCAGAGTTGTATTTATTTAAATTATGTTTTGAATAAGAGTTTAATAAATTTGGACAACTTTTAAAAGAGTTACTATTTAATGGTATAATACCATTTTTCCAATATTTAATTTTGTTATTAGGTTGTTGTTGATGTTGTTGTAATGTTTGATTATTTTGTTGTTGGTTTGGTTTAAAATTGCCACTATTTAAATGGTGGTCTAATGGAAAAGAAAATCTCCATTGAGTGTTTAAATCATTGATATTATCATTAAAGTTATTGTTGTTATTGGTTTCATTATTTTTTAATAATAATTGATCGTTGGTTAGATGCCCTATTGTTGGACATGAAAATTGTTTTTGATATTCTATAAAATGATTATATGAAGACATTTTAAAAAATATTTAATATTATTTTTATAAAATCTTTATTATTTATTTGTTTAATTGTTATTGGAGAATATATGTTATAATAAAAAATAAACAAATAATATTGAAAAGTTTTAAAATATATAACTATATATATATGTAATACAAATAAAAAATAAAAAATAATATTATTAAAATTAAATATTAACTGATTAAAAAATAAATTTAAAAAAATAAATAAAATTTTATCTTGATGATATCACTATAAAACAAAAATGGTAGTATTTTTATTTAAATTTTTATTTTCAATAAAAAAATTATTCTTTATTTAAGCACATGTCACACACAGGTTAATGTTTAAATATTTAAAAAAATACTATTGTATAGATTGTATGATTGTTGTATATTGTGAGTGTTATTGTTAGTTTTTGATGGTTAAAAATAGTTTTTTTGTTTGAAAGAATATTGTGTGTGAATTTTGGATTAAAGTGTTTTATTTTTATTTAAAGGACAATACTAAAATGTAATTAATGTTGTAAAATAATATACATAAATATATATTTTAATATTATTTATTTTATTTAAAATGTTTATATTGATCAATAGGTGTAATGTTTAAATAATATTATAATTATTATTATATTATTATTATTGATTCGAGATATTTTACTTTTAACTGATATATATATACAATATATATTTAAAAATTAAATAACAATAATTATAAAAAAATATTATTATTTTTATTAATTGGTTTGCCGAAATAAAAATAATTTTTTAAACAATACAATAATTGGGGAATATGAGTTTAATAAAATTAATATTAAATTTAATAAATTGAAAATAAAAAAATAATAAATAAAATTAAAAAAAATTTATAAAAAAACTATTGATTAATGAAAAGATTAATATCAAAAATAAAAATAAAAATTCACTTTATTTATATAATTATTTATATATACATATATTTTTTTAATTTATTTATTTATTTATTTTAAATTTAATTTAAATATGTGGGCAACTTGTTAATTAATTTAATTATAATCATTTTGAAATTTGAAAAAAATAACATAAGGTTATAACAAAAAAAAAAAAAACACTTATTAATTAGAGGAAATATCCTTTTTTAGAATATTTAAATTAAATAGTTTTAATAATTGTTTATTTAGAATGTTTTATGTGTTAGTGTGGTGGGTGTTGGGTGTATAAAAATAAATTGAATTTCTTAACTATACATGTGCAAAAAAGTGAAAACTACCCCACTATCATATTTTTTTAATTGTATTTTTAGTTATATATATATTATTTTAAGTTATATTGTTTCCATTATTTCTTTTTCTTTTTCTTTTTTGAAGTGGGGATTCTCAATTAAATAGTAGTCATATATAATGTTTACATTTAAGTTTTTTTTAATCCACATAAATTATATTGAATCTATATCGATTTTTATTTTAATAAATTTTATTGTATTTATTCACCAAAAATACAATGGACCTTGTGTATGAAAAATTTAGATTTTAAATTTAATCTAGATTGAAAGAAAAGAAAATAAAATTAAAAAATAACAAATAACAAATAAAAAATAAAAAATAAAAAATATAAAATATAAATTATAAAATATAAAACATAAAATATAAAATATAAAAAAAAAAAAAGAAATTTTTAAATTTTTTTTTTTATTATTTTTTTAATTTTTTTTTTAATATTAAATTAAATTTCATAATTAAGAATGAACTAAAATTTTTTTTTCTATATTATTTATTTTATTTTTTTTTTATTTTTTTTTCTATATAATTTATTTTTTATTTTTTATTTTTTTTTTCAATTATATTTTTAAACACAACCCACTTTATCAGCCAACTTATACAAATAATAAAGCATATACTTTAATTTTTTTTTTTTTTTTTGAATATAATTAACATCCATATATCACCAAATTTTACAAATATTATATTCAATAGATTTTGATAAGATAGAAAAGATAGTTTGTGTATGTTTAATCAGTTAAAAATAAATAGAAAATAATAAATTATGATTTGAATTTATTATTTTTAATTTATTATTTTTATTTATTTATTTTTTGTACAAAATTTATTTTTTATACAAAATTTATTTTTTTTCTTCATATTATTTAAATACTAATATTACTAAATATTTTGTCATCATTTAGTAACAATATCAAAACAAAAGTGTATCACATCATCATCAAAATTAAATTTTATTAATACATAATATATAGTCAAAGAAATAAAATTATTAGAATATTTCAGTTGAACGCAGAAAAACAATTAAAATAATAAAAATAATAAAAATAATAAAAATAATTAAAAATTATTAAAAACCCAAAACCATCATCGTCAATATCATCATCCAACAAATATTAATATCACCGCCATCATCATCATAATGGAATTAAGTGAGATCTTAGTTTTCTTTACCCTTCCAAGAGATGTTTTTCAAATTAAAATTAGAGATCAAATGAAAAAAGAAAATAAATCAAAGGTAGAAATGAATTAATCAAATATGGGTTTTAAAGATGGTTATTAAATTTGGAGAAAAAAAAAAAGAAAAAAATAATTATCAAAATTGTAAATATAAATAAAAAAAATTTCAAGAACAGGTTTAATAATGTTGTATATAAATAAAATTAAAAAAAAAACAAAAAAAAAAAAAAACAAATAAATAAAATCTTCATTTTTTTTAGGTTTTCTAAATATTTTTTGTAAATATTCAATCTTTATAATTATTTTTAAATTTATAATTTTATTTATATCTTTATATTTATTTTAAATTTATTTAATTATTTTTTCCTTTTTTAATTTATCCTATTTCTTCTTGATTTTTTTTTTTTTGTTGTTGTTTATTTACTTTAATGTAATGACCATATAAAGGTTGATTTTACTATAAATAAAAAAAAAAAATTAAAAAAAAAAAAAATATTATTTTTAATATTTTTTTTTTTTTTAAATTTTTTTTAAATTTTTGTAATTATTTAAAATAAAAAGGGCACCATAGTTAGTTTTTTTTTTCATTTTGTGGATAATTGTTAATAAAATCGTTAGTTTTATATTTAAATATAATATATATATATTATCCCAAAAAGAAATTAAATAGTTTCATTCCTTCTACTTTTTTTTTTTTGTAAAAAAGAAAATACAAAAAAAAAAACAATGGAAAGAATGTCACCTCCAATCGAAAACAATAATTCACCTCCAGGCCATTCGTCATCAAAGAAGAGAAATAGTAAATCTGATAATATTAATACAGAGGATACCAATGGTACTCAACTGGTTAGTAGCTCAAGTCATTTATTATCACCCGAATTAAAAGATGAGCCTTTAATAAATAGAGATGGTGAAGCGAATAGCAAAAATAATATTAATAATAGTAATAACAATAATAATAATAACACTAATGGTAATAGTAATAACAATAGTAATGGTAACAATAGCAATATTAATAAAAAGAAAGAAAAACATACACGTTCCAGATCACGTTCAAGATCTTTATCACCATCTATAACAAATGAACCAAGAGAAACTTCACCAAAAAATTCTAAAAGATCATCATTTAAGAAATCAGAAAGAACATCAAGATCAAAATCAAGATCAAATAGTAGAGGTGGAGGTAATAGATATACAAGTAGATCAACTTCGAGAGATAGACCATATAGAAAGAGTAGTAGTGATTCATTAAGTGGAAGCAAACATAAGTCAACTCCTACTACTTCACCAACAAATAAATCAAGATCAAGATCAAGATCAAAATCAAAATCAAAATCGAAATCAAGATCAAGATCAAGAGAAAGAAGACGTACTAGTAATAGCGGTAGTAGCAATGTATATAAAGATAGAAGGAAATCAAGATCAAGATCAAGGTCAACTTCTAGATCGAGATCAAGGGATAGAAAAAGAGATAGATATAGTAGTGGAGGTAGTAGCAGCCACCACCATCGTAGTAGCTATGATGGTGGTAGAAGAACTTCAAATTCATCAATGTCATCAACTTCATCATCATCTAAAAAATACAGTAGTAGAAGATCAAGTAGAAATAGTAGATCTAGATCAAGAAGCAGGTCAAAGAGTAGAGAAAATAGAAAGCATAGAAGCTCATCAAGAGGAAATAGTAGAGATAGATCAAAAAGTAATTCAAGAAGTAAGAGTAGATCGAGAAGCAGGTCGAGAAAAAGAGATCGTAGATCGAGTAGAAGCAAAAGTAGATCAAACAGTAGATCAAACAGAAAGAGAAGAGATAGAAGTAGATCGAGAAGTATTACACCAAATAAAAAAAGATCATCAGGCTGGGATAATTTACCATCAGATAGTATGATATCATTTTAGTTTTTATAAAAATTTTTTAAAAAAGTTTACTAATACATTTTATTTTCAATAGAAAAAGATACAAATATAGCGCAAGTACCAATCATATATGGCCAACCACAACAAACACCAATTAGTTATCCACAAAGTCAATTTATCTCATCTATAATGGTTCCGAATGTTCACCCAATTTCAGGTCACCCACAATATTCACATATAGCACACCAACTTATACCACAATTTGTACATATACCATCAACACCAACCCCACCACCCACATCAACTACAAATGCACAACAAGATCAATGTAGAGTTTATATTGGAAATCTGCACTTTAGTTTAGCAGAGGATGCCATTATACAGGCATTTTCTCAATTTGGAACAGTTAAATCTATTTTATTAGGAAAAGACGCAAATGGAAAATCAAAAGGTTATGCATTTATCGAATATGAATCACCAGATTCAGCAACAAAAGCAATAGAGAGTATGTCAAATTATGTAATGGCAGGAAGAGTAATTAAAGTTAATAGACCTTTAGCTGGTGGACAACAGGGAGTTGGGGCCTCAGTAGTATTACAGCAACAACAACAGCAACAATTACAGCAACAGCAACAACAACAACAACAACAACAGCAACAGCAACAGCAACAGCAACAACTACATCAACAACAACTAGCAATTTTAAATTCGCAACTATCTTCTACAAACATAAAGAAATCTTCTTCATCTTCAGATATCCCAAAATCACCTGCTGAAACCATTGCACCAGCCGTTAATGAAGCAAATAGAATTTATATTGGATCAATTAATTGGAATGTCACCGAAGAGCAAATTAGAGGTATATTTAGTCAGTTTGGTAAAATTATTTCATGTTTTTTAATGGTAAATATATATATATATATATATATTATAAACATTCTATTAATATTTTTTATTATTATAGCAAAATACAGAAACAGGTAAACATAAAGGTTATGGTTTTATCGATTTTGAAAATAAAAAATCAGCAGATGATGCTTTAGCTATGAACGGTTTTGAATTATTAGGTAGGGCAATGAAGGTTGGTAGACCAACAAAAGGTGCATCAGCCAATACAATCAGTAATGGCTCAATTGATAAAACTTCATTAGAAGGTGAAGCAATGCTAACAACCTCTGATCAAAGAATTCAACTTACCCAAAAACTATTAGGAAATGAAAATGTAAGTTTGATAAATAATAAATTACTATACCAAAATTACTAACATATACTTTTGAAATTTATAGAAATGTTTAGTTTTAAGAAATGCAGGTTCACCAGACGATATCGATCCATCATTCGAAGAGGATATTAGATCTGGATGTAATGAATTTGGCGAAATTGAAAAATTGGTTATCAAAACTGATTCATCAACTGTAAGAGTATATATTGTATTTAAAGAAGCCCCGTCGTGTGTTGCATGTCAATCAAAATTAAATGGAAAATATTTTAGTTATCACTGTATAAAAGCTGAATTCTATGACATTAATCTTTTTAATAAAGGAGTATTTATGTAATAATAACAAATAATAATATAAAAACCAAACAATATTTATTAAAATATAATCAACTAAAAAAAGTAATAGTAATAATAACCATATATAAAAATAATATAAATAATCGAAATATAGTGTTCAATCAATGTATGGTTGGAACTAATAGTTTATTACAATCAAATGTTTTTATTATTGTAATAATATTTAAAAAAATTTTTTTTTTCTTCCTCCTAAAAAAAGAAAATAAAATACCCTTTTTTTTTTAAATTTATTAATTTTAAATTATTATTTTTTTATTGTTATTTATTTATAATTTCAATTATTTTATTAATTGAATTAAAATTAATATTTAATTTTGACCAAAGTTGATAAAATGATACTGTTTGTGATGTTAATAAAGGTTTGTATATTTCAAAATCTTTTGGATTTGGTAAATTATAAAAAGCGATAAAAGCAATAAATTTCCTAATGGTTGAGTTCGAAAATTGATTTGTTGAGGGTAATTCTCCATTTAATAAATAATTTAATAAAAGTTTTCTATTATTTGGTTCGTTTAATAATTCGTTGTCAAAATAATTTTCGATTTTGGTTGAAATTGAGCTTAGGAATGATGATTGGACTAACCAGTTATCTTGAAGAGAAAATTCGTAACCGTCATTCCACTTTGAATAAAATTTGTTAATAATTTTAAGATTATCCAAGACTATTGTTGTGTTTGAATTTGAATATTTTTCAAAATTATTACCAATATCATTTAATAATTGTAATATAGGTATTGCTTCTGGAGTGTCTTTTATTAAGCTTTCATATAATATTTTAATGTTAAAGTTTTCAAATTCGCTAAACTGTATAAATGATAAAAAATTGGTTAATTATTATTTTTTTTTATTAAAAGAAAATAAATTAATACATACCTGATTAGAACAAAAATGCTTTGCAAAGGCTAATAAATTTGGATCAGAAATAAATGATTTTAAAAACTCTTCTTTACTTTTTTGGAAACCTCTAGATGATGAGTAAAGAGCAATCGATTCTGATTTAGGGAAACTCTTTGAAAGACTTCTAAAACCTTCTGGATCTTCGTGGTATGGTAAATGACCAATCTTCTTTTTTAAAAATATTACAGGATGGTTTTTGAGATTACTTTGATTATGGTGGTTATTTCTATTTATAAAAACATTCCAATATCTTGGTGATTTGATTTTAATTGATTTAATTTTTGAAACCTCTGGGATTAAACATGGTGTGACAAGATTTAAAATTTCCTCTTGATCACTACTATTGCTATTATGAATTGTTAATTCAATTGGTACATGGCATGGGGCTAAGGTATCAACATCTCTTGTAATTAAACATCTTGGATCTATGGCAAGGAAATACAAATGTCTTAAAGCTTGCAAATGATAATCATTATCAGTACTTGAACTTGGGAATCTAGGATAGAGCGAGCAAACCAAACTAGCAATAGCAATATTCGAGGTTGATAGTGTATATTGGCCTCCACCTAAAAACAAGAAACCAATAGCCATATTAATTGCCATATGATTACCATAAGAAACTTCGCTGCCTACTCTTGATCTTAACATTCTAAATAGCTTGAATGTTTCCAAGTGACCAGAACCAGCCATAACTAATGATAATGAAAGTACACATACATCCAAACATGTTTCAGTTGTAACCCTCATAGTTTTATCATTAGTTGGTTCAATTCTTTTCTTTAATAAACATTTATTTAAATAAACCTGTCTCTTTCTAAACATTTGAATTAAATCTAATAAAATTGAATATGCCTTTTCATTCTGTGAACCTGCAAATCTATATTATTGAAAAAAAACAATGTTAACAAATATTTTTTATAAATTTTATATTTAACAATGATTTATAATATTTACTTTAAACCAATAGATAAAGCTGAACCTGCAATTGTATTACATAAAATTAAAATAAATGATTCGAAATCATTTGAAGGTGAGTTTGAATTATTTGATTTAATAAATATTTTTTCTGAATTTTTATCGATAACGATGCTTTTTGAGACAACACTTGGGGTCGATTGCATGATCCAATCCATTGAGGTATCAATTGAATCCCACATAATTAAATTTTTACCCAAAACCCTTAATAATACTAAATCTGGTCTGATATAATTAAGTCCAAATGATGTGTCTGGAATTGATAGATAATTTGAAATCTTTGAATTATTTGTCTTTAAATAAATAAATGATAAAGCTAAAATTGCACCTGGAGCTGTAATATCAATATTTGGTTTTGAGCTTTCTAAAATGACATTTGATTTTCTGCTGCTATTACTACTATTGTTTCCAATGTTACCACTATAGCTACTATTTTGATTATTTCTATAAGTATTGTTGAAGAATTGGTTATTTCTATTCATCGAAGAGAATGATGAGCTATTATATGAATAAGATTGATTGAAAAATGTTGACATTTGGTCAAATGAATCTTCTTGGCTAATACCAATGTATGATCTTAATCTATCTTCAATTTGGAGGTCACTTAATGAACTTTGGGACTCACTTGAACCTTTACCTAAATTTACAAAACCTAAAGCAATACCGGCAGTAAGACTATAGCTATCACGTTCCATTTGTTTATCATTTGTAGGTTTTCTACCAATTTCCATTAACAATACCTCGGTCATTCTTCTATTTGATGTTTCAAGATATAGCAAACCGATACCCATTAATGATGCAATTTGAACATAACTTGGAACATCTAAATCAATTGAAAGTGGTGGGTGTAATGATTGAATATGGACACTAAGCACTTTTGCAATTGACATATCCATAGTACCGATTTTAGTACAAGAAATACCTAACAAAAGACCGACACTGGTTAATTGATGACCGCTGGCTAAATATTCAAATAATTTAGTGAAAGCTAAAGATGAAAGACGTTTTTGTAAACCCAATGCCATTAATAAACCAGAGTAAGATGGATTAAATTGTTTTGGTCTATTATATATGATCCATGTATTTGTAATTTCTGTTTGGTCAGCTGATATTCTTAGACCTGCTGCAACACCATTGTGAAATTCTGGCCAGTTAATCATATTCTCTGGTAAAGTAGTTGCATCCAACGAAATATTGGTTTTTGTACCTAAAACTACACCATTCAGAATAATTGGTGGAATATTAATGGTTTCTGTTGGTAAAGGTTTAACTGATCTAATAGTTACCATACCATAACCAATCTACAATATAAAAAAAAAAAAAGAAAATAATTAGTAATTATGAATTTTAAAAAAAAAAAGAAATAAAACATACTGGTAATGACAATGTTCTCTGTACTGTTAATAATAATTTTGATTGAAGTTGAGTTAAATAATCGTGATCACTAACACCATTTTCTTGAGGATGATTAATTTGAATTTTATTTGAAAAAGATAAAATACGATAAACTTCATGAATTCTAAGATCGGTATCAAAACGTAAAAATGTAATCTTTTTATAATATTCATCTTGACTATTAAATACCTTTGAAATATCAAATGAGTCATCGGCGTTGGCAGTTGCACTATTGAGAACTATTCTATGATTAAGAAGTCCACTATTATTATTGATAGCACCACTATTGCCTGAACCTGAAACTGGAATTGATGATGTGTTTTGAATTGATGTTGATAGCAATGATGAATAGGATGATGATGAAGATATCTGGTTTTTACCACCTGAAATTAACAAAAGATTAATTTTTAAATTATCTTTTTGGCTATTTATATCATCAAGACTAAACTTATAAATTAACTCCTCTCTACCAATTAATAAGTATGCTTTTAATGGCCAATCTGTTGGTGGGTTATTTCTACAATATCTAATTGCTTCTCTGAGAGGTAATGATAAACCAAATGTAATTGCATTTAAATCCTGTAATTTAATTTCTAAATTTACCATCTTTAATATTAATCTTTCTGAAATTTCTTTAATATTATAGTATATTTCATTATTATTATTATTTATTGAATATAGTTTTAATATTTTATAGATCCATTTAAAATTATATTTTAATAAAAGTATTGAAATTTCTGGTAATGATTGTTGGTGTTGATTTTTATCAAATGAACTATATATAAATTTATAAATTGAGAATGGGTGATTATTAAAACTATTATTATTATTTATAATTAATTTTGGTTGGTCTTTATATTGATTTACATAATAGATTAAATCTGCGAAATCTCTATAATAATAATCTATAAAATTTAATAAATTTAATTTCAATGCTGAATAAAAAAATAAAAAAAATTAGTTTTTATAATAAAATTTAAATTTAAATAAAATAATTTAAATAAAACCTACCTAATTGAATTAAAAACTTTGATAACCTATTAAGATAATCCACATTGAATGAAAGTATTTTAAATTCCTCATATTGTAAATGTAAGGAGTTTAATACTTTATAAATATTCTTTAAAAACTCGGTAGGATTTGTATTAAATTTAAATGTTGTATTTGATTTAATGAATAAACTATTATTATTCTTACTGTCTGGAATATTGATATTTGATAAAAATGATAATCCTTTTTGATAATTTTGATGATAACTACTTTTTAATAAAAATTCCCAATCATCTTCATCATTACTATTCTCGCTATTATTACAATTATTATCTTTATTATTATTATTATTATTATTTGAATTTTCTAATAATGATATTATTAAAATTTGAAATGATAACCATTCTTTATCTTTTTCTTCTAAAACATCAAAACTGTCACCATTATTTATTCTACTATTATGGAAATTAAAATAATCTTGATAAAGCAAAGAGAGTAAATCCAACGGTATGAATGATGAAAGAGCTCTAAAGCATGATGATACTAAATATGAATCTCCTATTGAAACCTTGTATCTAATTTCTTTTTTATTAGAGTAAACAATGGTAACTCTGTTAAATACTGGGTCTTTTAAGTATAGAGGCCCAATGCTTTCATTTTGTAATAATAGATTATTTATAATTTTGTATGAACCCCAATAAACTGATAATGAATTCGAGTTTTCATTTAAAACCAAAATGTGGGTGAATGGAGGTAGATATGGTTGGTTTATACCCTTTGGAACAGAGTATTCATTATTATTATAAAATGAGTCTATAAAAATTGGTGAAGCTGATTTAATATTTGGAATAGTGAATGAAAATTTTATGGTTAAGGATTCTTGTTTCTGATTTTCTAAAATTATACTATAGCAATGTAAATTTGATCCCATTTGAATACAGAGCAGAGGTTTTTGGCTATGGTCCAGTGTTATAAAAATTGATGATGCTTTTTCTTTTGATTTTAATCTTTCGGTATCCTTTAATACTTGAGTAAACATTATTTCACTTTTGATTATAAACTCTAAATCATCTTCGAAAATATAACTTTTATCTTCATTTAATTGCGATAAAAATCTAAAACTATTTTCATTATTATTATTATTAATGGTATTATTAATTTTTTGACTTGATATATTACCATAATCAAAACTTTGATCATTTACTGATACATTATTATTAAATATAAAATTTTTATTTTGGTTATTTTGATTAATATAACTGAAATTTTGATTTTGTTGTTGCTGTTGTTGTTGTTGTTGTTGACTAGATAAATGAGAAACTTGATAGATTATATGTATATTTTGATCTTTTGAAAAAGTTATTAAAATTGGATAATCGTTACTTGAAAATACAATAGTTTGATTGGTATCTGAAAAGAACTCTTGATCACCATTTTCTTGGTCACAAAGCAATAATACTGGTTTTAACTCTTCTAAAGGATTTAAAATACTAAATATTGATGGAATTTCAGTTTTATCTTTATTTGTTGAGGCCATCGCTATATTATCTAAACCACTGTCTCTTTCTAATATTAAACCATATTTTGAGCTCCATATATTTAAAATTTTGCATGGTAATACAATTTGATAACTATTACCGATTGAATTGTAAATATTCAATCCTTGACTATGTAATATACATAAATATTTATAATAATCATCAATGTTATTTAAATTTGATGTTGTAGTTGGACTATCTGTAGGTGGTGTTGCTGTAATTTTCGATGCTGTGCTTATTTGCTTCTCTGTTGAAAGACTCTTTAAAAATGGGAAGTGTGACCATATTGCATTATTGATATTTGGGTAAATCATTGATGATAAGAGCAATGGTAGTGTAAATTTCTTCTTTATGGATAACTGTGAACTCCATACAACTGTGTTATTATACCAAAATAATTGATGCTCTTCTGAAAAATTATTATTTAAAAAAATTAACTCCTCCTCCTCTTCTTCATTCCCCTCTTCTTTTTCGTTGGAAATAATTTCGTTTTCATTAAAACATGATTTTAGCGGATTTTGTAAATAATAATATTGATATGATATATTATTGTTTATATTGATATTTTTGTCATTATTATTCTCATTATTATTTAAATATGATAAACCAAATGGTTTAACATCACCCAGATCTTGTATATAAGATCCCATTATTTAATGTTGCTTTAAAAAAGAAATAAGTTTTATTTTAAAATATAAATATAAACCACAACATAAAACAAAATGAGGTAAAGAATAATTAGTGGTGAATGGGTAGTGTATGGGTGATGAATGGGTGAATGGGTGGCGAATAAATGAATGAAAGAATGTATGAATTTAAAAAAAAAAATGAAATTTTTAAAAAAAAAATTAAAAAATAAAAATAAAAAAAAAAAAATTAAAAAAAAAAATTAAAAAAGAGGGAAATGGGTGATCAATTACAAAAGAGGTAAATTAATCAGATGATGTACAAGGAATAAATATAGTTAAATTATTTACTATTTTTTTATGAAATTTTGTTTTTATATTTTTTTTTATTTTTATACTTTTTTTTTTTTTTTTTTGAGTGGGTTTAAACGGTTTGTGGTGGTGCGCCTAAAGGATTTTTTAAAACTAAAATAACTGAATCACCTCTTAAAAACATTTTACTAATGAAACGATCTTTATTAATTGGTTTCGCTTTCTTTTTACCTTTAGCAGTTTTTGGTACTTCTGTCCAAATTTCTTTAACCTAAAATAAATAAAAAAATATTGATTAAAAAATTAGTGTGTCTATTCATATTTATTATAAAATAACTATAGTATTATTGTTTTTTAATGATTATTGTTATTATTGTTGTTGTTCTTGTTAAATTATTTGATAATTACATTTTCTAAAACCATATTACAATGACGATCAAAAGCTCTGACTCTACCTAAAAGTTTTTTATTATTTCTAACATTGATTAAAACTTGAGTATTATTATTTACACTGTCCATTAAGATTGAAAGTGGACCTTTTTCATAATCATTAATATCCTCTGGTTTATCCTAAGTGTATATATAAAAAAAAAAATTATATTAGTTATTTATGAATATTTGAACATTGATATCAACCTGATTATTGCTATTATTTAAACTGTCCCTATTACTGATACATACTTCCATAACTTCATCATTCATTCTACTCATTTTTTATTAATCTGATTATAATTAATTTTATATATAAATATATAAAATGATATTTTAATAAATATGAAAAAAATAAAAATAAAAAAAAAAGAAAATATTGAAAAAAAAATTTAAAAAAATTTAAAAAAATAAAAATTTTAGAAAATAAAAAAAAAAAAAAATTTGCTTTTAAGAATTTTTGTAAATTAAATAAATTAATTTAGGTTTGAATTTAATTAAATATTAATTTATATTTGAAAATGTAAAATAAATTTTTGTATTATATAAAAGATTTAAAATAATTATAATTGGACATTTATTTTTCTTTAGTTTTTTTATAAATTAAATTATGTAAGCTTTTCTTCGTTAATGATTTTGCTAAAATTTTCAAATATAAAAATTGTATTATTATTTATTTTTTTAATATGAAAACTATCCACCATCATGATAATTGTATCCATATCAGAAAATATTTTTTTACAAATATTATAAATACCATTTGTCATATTAAAAGATGAATAAAATACAATTTGATTTACTTTATTTTCTTCTTTTTTATAAGTTTTTAGATGGCCATTTATAATATCCTCCTCTTTTAATATTAAACAATTTTCTTTTGACTCTATATCAGCCATACAATTATTATAAAAAATAATTTTTTCATTTATTATGGACATTTTATTGCAAAATAAAAAATAAAAATAATGATCTGAAAAAAAATTAAAATAAAAACTTAAAAATTTTTTTACATATAAAAATTAATATGTAAAAAAAAGACTTAGAAAAATATGAACTGTTTCCTAAAACTCCATATTAATTTTTATATGTAAAAAACTGTTTCCTAAAAATACATATAAAAATTAATATGTAAAAAAAAAGACTTAGAAAAATATAAACTGTTTCCTAAAAATGCTCCATATTAAAAAAAGACTTGGAAAAATATAAACTGTTTCCTAAAATTATATAATTTTAGGAAACAGTTTATATTTTTAAAACAAAAGAAAAATAAAAAAAATAGTTTAAATATTTTATAAAAAAAATTTTATTTTGTTTTAAAGCTAAGTGTGGTGATATTTTTATCATGTTGCATGGAAAATAAATATGTGGCAGTATCTCTTTTAAATGAAACTAACTTACAAGAACAGCTTTGACCTTTATGAGAAATATCTATTATCATACCATCAATATCACAATTTATCTCTTCATGATAACCTGTAACAAAATTTTTAATAAATTTTTTTATATTTTTTCTTATATAATCTTTTGATTTGATAAATTTTATGTCAACTGGTTAATCTTCAGATTCATCATCTTCATTTAAATCAGTTTCATGTCTTTTTCTTTTAAAAATCTGTTGTTCTTCTTCTTCTTTTTTTATTTCTTTTTTTATTTCTTTATCTTTCTTTTTCTCTTTTTCTTTTTCTTTTTCTTTTTCTTTTTCTTTTCTTTTTATAATTATTATTTCTTTCATTTTTGGACCAATAAAAAAATACCTCTCATTAATGGAACATTCTTAAACTTGATTTAAATTTTCAATTCCTTTTATTATTACTACTATTACTTCTATTGTTTTAATTATTATAAAGTTTTTTTTAATTTTTAAAACGTAATTTTTTGATATATCTCAATGCTGATTTGTTTTTGTTCAAATCTACCAATTTTAAAATACCAAGATCAAATAACTGATTGAATAAATCGGGATATTTGAGTAAATTTTGATTATTGTGGAGTATTAATAACTCTAATGTAGGTGGTAAAGGTAATTCGAATAATGTTGTAAAGCTTGATTTTATGACTAGAGTTTTAATGAATTTTGGTAGCATTGACGATCTTATAGTTATGTTTGCATATAATTCCAACTCTAGGCAAGTAAGAGAATCTGGGTAGAATAGTGGATGGATACCATTGGCTGAAAGATTAACTTTGAATGACTGGATGTGACTTGGTATAATATATGTTAAACTTTTATTCTCTTTAGATCTATCGTTTAAAAATTGAAACTCGAGGTGTTTAACAGTTGGTGGTATGAAATCTTTTAAATCAAAATCTGTTGGATTCGATATAGCCACTAGTGATAGTGATTTTAATGCTGTAAACGATAAGATTTGTGATAACTGATCGGTTACAAATAACTTTACTCTGTCATCTATAGGTGCACTTCTATCCAGTGAGTGGGGACTGTAATCGAAATTGCATAGTACTGTTAAACTTTTGATACTTTGAATTGGTAAATTTTTAATTGACACTATTGGCACCTTTGCTTTCTTTAAACAACCTGAAAAAACCAAATCATCAGCCAAATAACTCTTATCATTTAATAAATCTAGTCTTTTAATTGATTTTGGAAAAACATCTTCAATATCGTATATAGTTTCGTTAAAATCCTTAAGTGAGAAACCCTTTAAAGAGAGTAATTTTGAGAAATCCATTAGACCAACGGGAACTTGAATGGAACCTAGCAATTCGGAAATAGTTTGATTTTGATCGAAAAATTTGAATGAAAACCTTTTACCAAAATAATAAAATTTATGTAAATTCTTGGGTAATGAAGATGGTGTTATATCTTTATTAAAATCAGCACCTAGGTAAAGTTCCTTTAATGAAGTTGGTAAGATGTCGTCCAAAACTTGATTAAAATCAGTTTTTAAACAAAGCGACGTAATTGAATTTGGTAAACTATTTGGCCGAATTTTTGATTTACCCAAACAATCAATGCTAAGGGTCAAAAGCGTTTGAGGTAGGTATTCAAAGTTTATTTCATATTGTGACAAATATATATACAAAGATGTTAAACCTGCTCCAAATGTATTTGGTGTTATTAAAGTTGATAAAAAAATGATTTTAAAATGCTTTATGTATGTTGGATTGATTGGTGTTCCAAAATACTTGAAAAGCTTTAATGTTTTTATAGATGATGGGAGTGAATCGATACAGTCTTTAAAAATATCCTCTTTATAATCGAATGAATACGAGCTGATCTCTAGTGTATCTATATTTGGGCATTCTTTAATTTCTTTAAATAATTTTCCAATTTGAACATCTTTATGAAAATGAATATAAATTGATTTTAAATATTTTGAATATTGATAATTTTTTAATTTTTTATTATTATTATTACTGTAATTGTAATGATTATTATAATTATTATTATTAGTGTTAAAAGTATTATTACAAAAATTATCTATTAAATAATTATATTGTATTGGTGTATCGTGAAAAGTAAATAATCTTAAATAATAAAATATTTTATTTCGTAGATATATATTTTTGAAAATAGAATTTAAAAACAAATCATTTTTATCCTCCATCTAAATCTTGTTTGTGTCTTATAAATTAATTTTTAAAATTTAAAAAAAATTTAAAAAAAACAAAATAAAATAAAAAATTTAAAAAATAAAAAAATAAAAAAAAGAAGATATATAAATATATATTTTTTTATTTTTTTATACCATAGTAATATTCTTTAAATAAAATAGTATTTTTAAACAATGAAATATTAAATTATTATTACTTCATTTTTTATAATTTTTTTTTTTTTTTTTTTTTTTTTTTTTTTTGGGTTTTTTTTTTTTTTTTTTTTTATTTCTATCAGTATCTCCTGAAAATGAGTAAATCAATTTATCCATTTTATTTTTATATTTGAACGGTAATAATTCTTGGATTTGGTCCCTTCTTTATATTTATTATATAAAAATATCAATATTAAAAATTTAAAAGAAAATTTAAAATAAAATAACATTTGAACAAAACTTGAAATTTTAGTTCCAAAATAATTTTATAACATAGAATATTTTCGTTATTTTGATCCTACACTTGGTTGGAATTTTTTAATGGTCATTTTCATTTTGAAAAAATTAAAAATATTAAATAAATTCAATATTATTAATTATTTCTTTCAATAATGTAGCAAAACCTATTATTAAAATAGTATGAATCAATAGATAATTTCCATTTAGTATATAATAAATTTATAAAAGAATTTTAAAACTTTATTATTTACTTAAAAAAATAAAAAATATAAACTTACCATATTAAATTTTTTAAAAAAAATTTTCTCATATAATTTTTTTAAAATTGTACTTTTTATTGATTATTTTATTCCAAGGGTATAAAAAAAGCATAAAATGAAATAACATTGCATTTGTAATTTATATACACTAATTTTATAATTTTTATACAATATGATAAAAACCTGTACTATATTTAAATATTTAATAATTTTTTTTAAAAAAAATAATTTTATTAATATTTTTCTATTTTTTTTTTAATTTTTTATTATTTGTTTTATTTTTTAAAAAAATAAATTTATTATGAGTAGAATTAATAAATGATGATTTTAATTCATGAATTTGAAAAAAATACCACCTCTCAACCAAAAACTCAATATTTAAACTAATTATTCTTATTATATTTTATTAATAAATTATTTTTTTTAGTAATAAATATTGCAATTTCAATAAATTTTTATAAAACAAAGACTTGATGTCAATTCAAGCTCAAATAGATTCTAAATTAAGTTTCAAATCAATATATCCAAAATTGAAGTCCAATATTAAAATGTAATAATTATTTATAATTTATTATTTACAAATATATATTTTTTTTTAACATATAAAAATTTTTAAAAATTTTTAATTTTTTTTTGTTTTTTTTAAAATTTTTTTTTTTGTACACATAATTTCTTTTAATAGATAAATTATTTTAAAAATTAATACTTTAATATTCCAATATATAAAGTAAATACTCTATTCTTTTGTATGAATAGTACCATATTGAGTTGTTTACTTTGGACATAAAAATAAAAAAAAATAATGTATCAAGATTTTAATGCAGTTATAAAAAATAATTATATATTATGTATATATATTTTGACATTATAATAATAATAAAAATCCCAATATGAACCCAATTTTAATAAACAAATAACCATTTTTAAAAGGCGTGTGGGTGGGGTTCAATATTTTTTTTTTTTATGAAATTTTAGAAAGATAAATAATTTTATTTATATTATTAGAAAATAAAAAAAATAAAAACTATAATTTTTATATAGTATATTTTTATTTATAAATTTTTATAATTTTATTTAAAAATAGCCAAATAAGCTTGAAAATATCAAATAAATAAAATAGATTTATTTAGTTCTATTGATTTTAATAGTTTTAGTTAAATTTAATTTTAAAGAAAATTCAATAAAAAAAATGAAAAAAAAAAAATTAAAAAAATTTTTTATTTGTTTTTCGTAATATATATATTTTATTTTTTTCTAAAAAATTTATTTATAATATTTATTTTTTGAACTAGTCTACTAATACATAACAAACTAGTTATAAAATAAATAACAAATAAATATTTGGAAATAAATATAAATAAAAATATATATATAAATATTTTATAATTTTTTTTTTATTTATTTTTTTTATTAATATAATAAATAAAGAAAAAAAATATTACAATGTTATGTTCCACAGTAATCATAACTATCATTTAATAACATTCACTAAAATAAAATATATTATTTATTTGAAAATAATATTTCTATAAAATTGGTAAATTTAAATATAGAAATAATAATCCTAAAATAATTTTTTTTTTTTAAAATAATTTAAATATACCAAATTGGTTTTTTAACAGCTATATTTAAATAGGACAAAAAATAAAATATAATTTGAGTTTTAATCAGAGAATTTCATTGTGCACTTTAAACCGTTAACAAACCTCATTTTTTCAAATTTAAATTTTAATAGTTTTGTAAAGTATTAGAAAGGCGCCAAGCACAAAAATAAAATTAAATTTTAAAAAATCCACTAGGAAAAATTTTTTATTATTAAAAAACAGCACAAAAAGTGAATTTTTTAAAAAATTAACACACCAAAAAAAAAAAAATAAAAATTTTTTTTTCAAATTTTTTTAAAATTTTTTTTTTTTTTTTATTTTATTTAACATTCTCTCACTTGTATACATATCGAATAAAATTAATTGTTTTGTGTTATTAAATACAGCCTCAATATATTTTATTTATATTAAAACAACATTTTATTAAATTAAATTAATTTTTTTCCACAAATAACAAACAAACCTTTACCAAACTTTTTTAAGTTATTTTAAATAATAATAATAATTTTTTCTTTTTAAAATGGGTCCAAAAGCTGCTTCCACCACCAAAAAAACCACAACCACTAAACCAAAACCAAATCATCCAACCTATCAAGTTATGATTTCACATGCTATTGCTGCTCTCAAAGAACGTTTCGGTTCATCTCAACCAGCTATCATTAAATACATTGAAAATAACTACAATGTTGGTGATTCAGAAAATTTCAAGAGACAATTAAGACTTGCCCTCAAACGTTTACTCAAAGACGGTGTTTTAGTTCAAATTAAAGCCAGTTACAAACTCTCTGAAGAAGGTAAAAAAGCCCACAAATCTGAAGGTGGTGCTGCTACCAAAAAACCAGCTGCTGCTACCGCTGTTGTTAAGAAACCAGTTTCTAAAAAACCAGCTGCCAAAAAACCAGCCGAAACAGCCGCTCCAAAGAAACCAGCTGCCAGAAGAGTTACTAAAAAACCAGCTGCCGCTGCTGCCAAAAAGAATGCTGCCAAAAAACCAACTGCCGCTCCAACCAAGAAAGCAGCTGGCAAACCAGCAGCCAGAAAAGCTCCAGCCAAAAAGTAAACTTTCTGATTTCTCTTTTTTTTTTTTAAAAAAAAAATTGGTTGTGAAGCCAAACAAAAAGAAAAAAAAAATTTTAATTTAATTAATTATAAAGGTGTTTTTTAACACCACTCATACCTATAAGTTAAATACTTTTATTCTGCGATATCTACAAACCATAAATATAAATAATAATATATAATATATAACACATATAAAAATTTATTAACATAATATATTTATAAAATCAAATATACTTGATTTTTTAATTAAAATCTTTTAAAGGAGCAAAAATCCAAACCCTTAATTAAGATATTTTTATTAATCGAACCTGCAAGAAATACAATGTTTTTTTTAAAAATATTTTTTTAAAAACTAAATAATTTTTTTTTTTTTTTATTTTTTTTTTTTTTTTGGTTTCCTTAAAAAAAATTTCTTTTTTTTTTTTTTGTTTTATTTTTTATCTTTTTATGATTAATTTTTGATTTAATCATGTTTAATACACAAGGTTTGTGATCATTTTTATTCGTTTATTTTTCTAAAAAATTAAATTTTTATTTTATCGTAAAAAAAAAAAAAAAAACACAACCATAAACAAATATAATAAATCAAATTTTAAATATTTTTAAATATTTTTATTTTTTTTTTTAAATATTTTTTTTTTTACATCCAAGAATAAAATTAAAACTTAACTAATAATTGTTATAGTTAGTTTATAATTATAAAAGATAAAAATTAAACTTATAGAACTCATTGGAATATCAAAATTTTTTATTTTATTTTATTTTTTATTTTTTTTAAAATTTTTTTTTTTTATTTTTTATGAACAATAATAATTTTTTTTTTTTTTTTTAATTTTTTTTTCACAATTTGGCAATAAAAGCTGATTGTATGTTATATTTTTATAGGTTTTATCTATATAACTAGATTTCTATTTGTAGCAGTAAAAATAATACAAAAAATTCGTTTATAAAACTAAATTAATAAAAAACACCACATAAATAAAAAACTCAAACCCCCCACACATTTTTTTTTTTAATTCCTTTTTTTTTATATACAACACAACAATAACAACAGCCCACCACATCATCTACATTCAACATTTAGCACCAATACTTTTAAATTTTAAAAAATTAATAGATTTTTTTTCTAATTAATTTTTAATAAAAAAAATAAGAAAATAGAAACAAAAAAAAAAAAAAAAATAAACTCACACACACACACCAATAAAACTACTGCACAATAGATAGAAAAAAAATATTATTATTTCTATTATAAAGCTAAAAAGTTATTAACTTTATATTTATTATTATTATTAAAATTTTAGAATTAAAAAAGAAAATGCAAACTTTTGAATTTATTTTAGCAGTTGGAACTATAGTTTTGGCAGGTGTTGTATATGTTTTCATGTCATCAAGTAATAAAGGTGACGAAAAGAAATCAAACGAAACAGGTTCAGTCGCACTTGATCCAAACGAATATAAAAAATTCCAATTAAAAGAAAAATTCATTGTTAATCATAATACTAGAATTTTTAGATTCGCTTTACCAAACGAAAATGATATTTTAGGTCTCCCAATTGGTCAACACATTTCATTAAGAGCAGTCGTTGGTGGTAAAGAAGTCTACCGTCCATACACACCAATTTCATCAGATGAAGAAAGAGGTTACTTTGATCTTTTAATTAAAGTTTATGAAAAGGGTGCCATGTCAGGTTACGTCGATAATATGTTTATTGGTGATTCCATCGAAGTTAAAGGTCCAAAAGGTAAATTCAACTACACTGCCAACATGCGTAAACATATCGGTATGTTAGCTGGTGGTACAGGTATTACTCCAATGTTACAAGTCATCAAAGCCATCCTTAAGAACCCAGAAGACAAAACTCAAATCTCTTTAGTCTTTGGTAATATCACCGAAGAAGATATCCTCCTCAAGAAAGAATTAGATGAATTAGCTGAAAAACACTCAAATTTCAATGTTTACTATGTTCTCAATAATCCACCAAAGGGTTGGAACCAAGGTGTTGGTTTTGTTTCCCAAGAAGTTATTCAATCTAAATTACCAGCTCCATCAGACGATACTATGGTTGTAATGTGCGGTCCACCAATGATGAATAAAGCCATGACTGGTCATTTAACATCATTAGGTTATCAAGAAAATAGCATTTTCACTTTTTAATCAACTTATATAAAAAACAAAAAATAAAAAAATAATATATTTATAAAGTAAAAATAATAATGCTATATTAAAAATAAAATAAAAAGAAAACAAATTATTTTTATTGGTTTTTTTTTTTAACATAAAACTATATAGTATTTTAAAAAAACTATAATTTATTAATTATTATTAAAGTGAACTAATTCTATAAACTGAATTTACGGTGGTGCTTGAGGAGATTTCAAATAACTCTTGTGGTGGTACTCTTTTATGGGATGAGTATGCATCCACGATTTGCTTTATTAACTCTTGTTTGGTGTTGAGCATGTCATCAGAAAACTCGAGGTTGAGGTTGAGGGTATCGAGTAATGATTGTGATTTTGTTTTGAATTGTTGAAGATCAAGCTTAAAATCCTCTTGTTTGGTTTTATCTCTTCCTAGTTCTTTAATGTACATCTCACAATCATTTTGTTCATAATCTAGTTTTTTCTTTTCTTCATATATATTTCTTATGGCTTCACTATATTCTCTTTCTTTCTCCATCGACTCTTGAAAGTAACGACCAAGTTGGTTGTATCTATCTCTGTATTGCTCGAGTCTATTGTAGGCATTTTTTAAGTCCCCAGTTAGTTCATTAATAAGAGCCATAGCAGCTTAATTAAAAAAAAAAATAAAAAAATTAGAGCTTATAAAAAATTTATAATATTTTTTTAATTTACCTTCAGCTAAAAACTTAAAAGGACCAAATGAATCAACAGCCGCTCTTTGAGCTCTAATTTCTGATTCAATTCTCATTGCTTCTCCTCTTAATTGATCCATTTCCCTATCCAAGCTTTCAATGATTGATTTTTCTTTTTCTGATGAGGCTTGTACTGTGGTAAAAAAAATAAAAAAAGTTAATAGATGAAAAATTTAAATAAATATTTTAATGGTTACTTACAGTTACCTAAAACTTCCTCCATTTTTGTTCTTTTTGTTTCAATAAATACAATGTTCTGGGTAATGAGTTTCATTCTGTTTTGAGTTGCCTCGATTTTTGATACTTGAATTATTATTTCTTTCTCGAGATGTGAAACTTCATCTCCCATTATTTTTACAACTTTTGTTAAAAAATTGATAAATTCTTTTTTCAGTACAAGTTCAAATTCAGAATTTGACATTTTATTATAAATTATTTGTATAACTAAAGAAGAGTGAGTGAATAAATAAATAAATGATTTTGAAGTAAAAAAAAAAAATAATAAGGTGTTAATTTAAATTAAAAAAAAAAGTAAAAAAAAACAAAATAATCACTGTTTGTAGATTGGTGGTTTTTATTATTATACACCCCATTTGCATCTAGTTTTTTTAAATGAATCTAAATTATTTAAAATAATGCAGTTATTAATTTTTTTTATAATTAAGCAAGTTAAATTAAAAATAGTACAATCTGTTTCTTTTTATACTATTATTTTATAGAAAGTGGTTCAAAACATTCAGGTTGTATTTATAATAAATATAATATTGATACAAGAATTTTATATATGTTAGAAAAAATAATAAAAATGTAGGAAAAAAAATTAAATGTTTATTATAATAATATTTAAATTAAGAATCAACAATAACTAAGATATTATAATAAAAAAAAAATTATTTAAATTATAAAAAAAAATTTTAATTTTTTTTTAATATTTATTTATTTTTATTTTTTAAAAAAAAATTTTTATAAAAAAACGAATTACTTTTTTTTTATTTTTTTTTTTTATATATTTTATATATTTTTTATTTTTATTTGTAATTTAGCAATAGGTTTTGTTTCAAAATAAATAAAATATTAATTATCATAACAATAAAAAAAAATGAGTGTCTCAAGTAGATTAAAGGAAACCTCTAATTGTGAGTAGTCATTATGATATCAATAATAATAATAATGATGATAATAAAACATATATTAATATCTAACAAAAAATTATTTAGGGATGAGTTCAATGTTTAATATCGTCAGAGATCCAAAAGCATCAGAGTCAGCATCATTTTCAAATAGAGTTAGCTCAGCAGCAACACCACCAAGAAGATCAAGTTCAACTACTACCACAACTACTACTACCACTACCACCACAACAACAACATTATCATTCGAAGAGGCATCAAAAATCAATGAAAATAAATTAAATAAAAATGTAGCACCACAACAATCATTATCATCACAAAATAAAGAGGATTTAAAAAAATTACTTCAACAACAATTATCAGAAATGAAATTAAAAAGACAGGGTAATAAAGACCAACCAAATAAAAGATTAAAAGACAACGAAGGAAATAAAAAAGATATTGTATCTAATAAATCATCTGTAAATAATAAATCTGCAAACACCAATAATAAAAACCAAAATAATAAAAGACCATTGGAAGAAGAGGAAGAGGGTGAAGAATATGGCAGCGATGAAAATAATATTGATGAAGATGACGTTTCAGAAGAAGAAGAGGAAGAGGAAGAAAAACAAAGTAATGCAGATTATGATGATTATGATTTAAACTCAGAGTCAGGTTCCGAAATGGATTTAATAAATAATAAAAATTTAAATAAAGAAAATAGAAAGAAACAAGAGGAGGATTTACAATTTAGCACATTTGATTTTAGCAGTGGTAAAGCAATTCCAACTTATTTATTAAATAAAGGTAGAAAAACAAGTAAAAAAGAGTTATTAGAAAAGGCTGAAGAAAAAGAAAAAATTTTACAAAATGCCAAAAAGAAAGGTGCCAGTAAAGAGTTACAAGAGGCAGCAGATGCAATTCGTTGGGGTTCAGCATTTGATAAAGTTCAAGGGATCAAAGTTAAGGATGATCCATCTCTCTTAAGAAAATCAATTAAAAAAGTCGAAAAAACAAAACTCAAGAGTGCTCGTGAATGGGTTCAAAGAAAGAAAGAAAAAGACGAAAGATTAAAACAACGTATTGCCAAACGTGAAGCAAACATCCAAGCTAAAATAAAGGAGAAGAAAGAAAGAAAAATGGGTATCAAAAAGAAGAAACCAACCAACAACAATAACAACGGAGGTGGCTTAAAACGTGCTGGATTTGAAGGAAAGAAACAAAAGTTTATAAATAAGAAATAAATAAAAATAAATAATTTTAAATTTTAAAAATTTTTTTTATCACATCATCAATGATGAAGTTGATGGTGTTTTATTTTTAATTCTCCATTGTGACTAGTTTTTCGCTAGAATGTTCCCCATTTACCCAAAAAGATCTATTTTTTTTTAATAAACATGTCATATTACTTGATGTGCATTCCAATTGTTCACTAGTGCAAGTCATTGAGTTTGGTCCTTTTGAATTGGTTGTGCATTTAATTTCACCATTTATATAACTTGTTTCACATGTAGACCCACTAATATTATCAACACAAGTTGTTGGACCATACGATTTGCAACTAATACCAGCAAGGCTATTAATAGTTAATCCATTTCCATCGTTTTCACAGGTAACTTTGGTATTGTTATTATTGTTATTTCCTTGTGGATAGGTAAGGTGAACTTCATAACTACATTTTGAAACTTCAAAGATTTGGGAAACTGTAACACCTGTACTATTTCCTGGTTCCATGACTATATTAAAACTTCTAAATGCACCACCACTGCATGGATTTGTGTTTGTATTATATCTTAAATTGGCGGACTTTTTAGAACCAGAGAAGTAACCCTGACCAATAAAGCCAACTGGAGTTGGATTACTAGTGCCTTTAACTTGACAGGCAACAATGTGGCCGGAATTTAATGTATTGCATTTTGAAGATAAATTACAAATATTAAAATAATATGTATATTGGTTACTTGAATCTGTACTCGAATATCCTGTGGAGTTTGTTAAAAAGCTAAAATCAACTCCATCAAATTTACAGTTACTGGGTGAGGATTGTGAATTAATAAGTGATATTAACGAGGTAAAAACAAATAAATATTTTAAAAACTTCATTTTTGTTGGTTTTTGAAAATAAAGGGATTAAATAATTTTTTTTAAAAAAAATTTATGGAAAAAAAATTTAAAAAACAAATTTTTTTTTTTTTTGAGTAGGGCATTTTTTATTTTAAAAATAGAAAACTTAAAAAAAAATTTTAAATTTAAATTATTTTTAAATTATATAAATTAGAATTAAATTTAAGTTTAATATTTTGATTTGATTTTAAATAAATAACACAAATAATATTTTAATCGAAAATTTTCAAAAAAGTTTGATTTCAAAAAATAATAAAATATTATTTGATAAAATAAAAATCAAAAGGTTAAATATTTAAAAAAAAAAAAAATATTTATTTTTATTATTACTATTTATAATTAAATTAATCAAATATGTATGGTACATTAATTTCGGAAGGTGGACAAGCATTACCAAGATTACCAATTTCACGTAATTTCCTTACCATTGTAATAATTGAGTTAAAAGTTAAAACATTGCCATCCAAAGGAACAGAAATTTTATAGCCTAATGGGTATTCTTGCGATGCAGCGACATAATCACGAGAAACACGTTTATGAACAGGTTTTGAGTTTTTGTTTTTTGAGATTGTAAAAGGTGTGTTTACTGGATCGTTACTGCTGAGACGAATTAAAAATGTTCCGTCACTTCTACCACGTAATCTCTTTTCAGAGGTATCTCTTGTGATATCGTGGAACCACTGTTGATCTAATAATCCAATCATTTCGTTGATAATGGATGGGCCTACTTTTTCGTCAAAAAAGTTTCCAAACCATTTGTTCATCATGTCAAACTTCTCGATAGAGATATTTTCATCTAGAGAGGTATTGCAAAAATATTTTTTGAGGGCTCTTAATGGTGCTAATTGAACCGAGGTAGCATGAGAGAGTTTTGTGACAAATTCGCTCCATTTAACGGTATCTGGTTCACTCTTTGTTAAATTATTCTTCCAAAATCTAGCTGCAGCTTCGTTCGAGATGGCTACATCAACAAGAACATCTTCCATTCTTTGGGTGATTTCATTAAATGATGGTCTTTTATTTGGGTCATGATCCCAGCATCTACTGATTAGTGATTTTAGAGAGACTGGATATTCAGATGGAATAATTGGACGAATTTTTTTATTACAAATTGCATCATAAAATGGATCGATTTCAGAGTATTCTGGGAAAAGTTCTTCGCATGTTGCCATTTCATAAAGAATTAAACCAAAACTATAAACATCTGCTTTTTCATTAAATTCTTGTTTCATCATAACTTCTGGTGCCATATATAATGCTGTACCTTTTGGACCTTTTTGATCTGAAAGTGTTGTACCTGTTTTAATAACCTGACTGAAACCAAAATCACCAATCTTTACAGTTTTATCTTTGCTAATCATTAAATTTGCAAGTTTTAAATCTCTGTGAATAACATTACAAATACCATGAAGCCAATTAATACCTAGAGATGCATCTAAACACATTTTCATTCTTTGATAAAATGGTGGTGGATTATCTGAGTGAATATATTTCTCTAAATCTGTTTGCATTAATTCCGAAACAATCATAACTTTTCCTGGTTTTGTGCATGCACCTAAAAATAATACAACATTTGGATGAAAAATATTTCTATAATAATAAAAATAAAAGTGTTAATAAACTGTTTTATGGTGTTGTTAATGAGTAGCGGTGGTATTTGCTTACCTCATAATATCGACTTCATTTTTAAATGATTTTAATTCAGATTCACTTAAAGTTTGTTTCTTTGGTACTTTTACAGCAACTTTTTTTCCTCTACATGTAGCTTTATATACTTTACCATATGCACCACCACCTAATAAATCTGTTCTGGAATCAAATTTAATTTCTTCTGGAGGAATTTCAGGTGGACCTGAATGACGATGGCTTGAGCTTCTCTTTTTAACTTCCATATTGGAAATTGCTTGTTGAACAACTTGTTGATTTCTTGAAATTGCTTGCTTTTGTTCATCTGTTAATTCTGAATTTTGTTGAACTTGATGTTGTGGTTGTACTTGTTGTTGTACCTGTTGTTGTTCCTTTTGTTGTTGTTGTTGGTGGTTGTTGTCGACTAAAATCTCGGCGGTAACATTTGTTTTATTATTTCCATCAATAACTATACCAGATTGTGGTTGGTGAGATGAAATTTCATTACCAGCATTATTTGAAATGAACATTGGTGATGGTGGTGAATTTTCTGATAAATTTAAAACATCGTTGAATGTGCTCTCTATAGTTTTCATCTTTTCTTCAATTGATTCGATAATTTCAAAATTTACTGAAACAAAATTATTATTATTGGTGCCATTTATTTGTTGTTGTTTTTGATCACTTAATACATTTAAAATTTGTTTTAATTGTGTATAGTAACCAATTAATTGTTCTTTATCATCGGGTAAATCATTTTCTATATATCTTTTAATTAAATTTAAATCCATTTTATTATTATTATTCATTTATTATTTATTATTTTTTTTTTTTTTTATGTATATTGTCAATTATATCTGTGTTGATATTTGTTTATTTATTTGTATATCTGTGTGTATTTTTTGGGTGTGTGGTAAGTAACCTTTAATTTTTATGTTTTTTTTTTTTTTTTGATTACAGAAAGAAAAAAAAAAGAAACTTTAAAATTTTTAAAAAAAAAATAAAAAATATTTTTGAAAAAATTAAAAAAAAAAAACTTATTTTTTTTTGGTAATCATATAATGGTGTGTGGGTGTGTTTAATAAACCATCATTCTTTTTATATTCTTTTAATCTATTTTTAATTTTTATTATTTTTTTTTTTTTTATTATTTTTTTTTTTTTGCAACAAACGACAAATTTATTTTATAACAAAATTATTATTTTTTTATTTTTATTTAATTAAAAATTAATAATTTCATATGATTCCACAATTCAATTGAAACTTGATAATGAATCTAGTATAAAAATGATACTTACATTGAGGGAGTAAATATGAAACAATAGGAACCATTGGTTAAAAACCTAAAACCAATCATGATATTAATTATTTCTATATATGTATAATATTAATAAAGGTTAAACTCGAAATTTTTTTTAGGTTTACAATATGATGAATGATTTTGATTGAAAAAAAAAAAATTTATTTTATTTATTTGTAATAGGTTTCTGGATTAATGAGTATAGCATTTTCGTGACGTTTTAGGAATTGTTCGACTTTGTTACTATCTGAGGTGTATAATATAGTTGCTTGGGAGTCGTCAAATAATGGTTCTATATATTTCTTTATTGCATTCTTGATATCTTGTTCAGTTACATTGAAAAAGAGTTTAAAGAAATCGTGATAAGTGTGAGAAACCCAACCTCTTAATTGATTAAAGAAGGCAAAGTTTAAACATGAGGCAATATTTTTTTCTTTTTGAGCAATTTCAAAAATAGATGAGCTTATAGCGCCTGAAAACAAAATTGGATCTAATGGTTGTTCAAGTGTTTTTTTAATGATTTCTCTGCCAACTTCTAATACCTTTTCTGGATTTGAGACTCTAAATGAATCAAAGTTATAGAAACCACCGTCTGGATTGTCAGATAAATCATAGGAGTACAAATAACCAGCACCACGTAATTCACGCCAGAAACTACCTTCTAATTGTTTTAAATAGGCATTTGCTAAATACATTGAGCAATATTCATGGCTGATGATGTTGTCATAGGTAAAGCCGTTTTCAATTAGACGGAAGAGGTTTGATGAACCATTACCTGGGGTGACTACTGCCATAATTTTACCTTTGCTTTCTTTGATGGATTCTCTATCTAATACATCGTATTGGAATGCTGGTTTGGAGAATTCAGCAGTAGTTGGGTTGTTTGGATCTTTATATAGGTATGAGAATTCTTTAATCCATGGGTCTTTTGGATTTGGTAAATCTAAAATATCACCACCAACTGAAATAAATATTTCTTCTGGACGCTTTGAAAAGTATTCTTTGATTTGGTTTAATCTATCGATTAATGATAAAACGTCTTGGGTAATTTCAATTGGTTTGGCTTTTTCTTCTTCTTTTTCTTCCTCTTCTTCTTCTTTGTCGTCATTTTCATCGTCACCACCTAAAATTTGAATAATATTTTGTAAAATATTGGTTTGTTTTTGGTAATTTAAATGGACAACATTTGATTTTTTCTTATCGAACAAAATGTAATTGTTTAATGCATTTAACACTTTTGTACCATTTTCTTTACGATGTGGGATTTCATCAAGCATCTTCTTTACAACGATTTTAATTCTTTCTGGTTCAATAACAAGACCATCGATAAGTAATTTTATGAGGTTGATGGTATCGTTATAATGTTTTTTTTCGATATTGCAAACGATAAAACAGAGTTGAGAGAATGCCTTTTGTTCAAAGGAGCTTGAATTACCGAGTAAAGTAATAAAGTCGATGGTATGTTTGAGAATTAACTTGTCGACTTGTTCATAGGTTACTAATGTGCCATCATCCCTCTTTGCAGATGACATTGTTAATAACTCTAAATATACTCCTATGAGATCTCTGAGGTCATCATCTGGGAAGTTTTGGGTGTTGAGGCCTACTCTAATATTGATGAAGGATGATTCGATATGATTGAAAAGACTGCTAAATGGTAATGGTTTTGGATTGGATTTGCTTAAATGGTTTAATAACTCCTCTTCTTTTTTATTTCCAACGTGGACAACTTTATCATCTCTTACTGATGATATTGGTAAGAATGAAATTGAATCTGGTGATGGAAGTTTAATCTTGTCAAAGAGTTCTTTTGGAATTGATTTTTCATTAAATTCTTTTGCAGCATTTAATTTTTCGTCTAATTCTTTTAATTGTTCTGGTGTAAAGCTCTTGAATTGCTCTTCAAGTCTTTTAGTCTCTTCGCTAGTTAAACGTTTTGACTCTTCAATAGATGGCATACCTAAAATTTCTGAGCATGGTTGGTCTAGGAATAAAGTCTTGATTAAATCTAACCAAAAGGCTTCATCTTTTACAATTAACTTATCAAAAATTTCTACAAATTCCATTTGATCTTCTAAATTATTATTACCATATAAAATATCACCAATAATAATTTCAGAGATAATTTTACTTGGTTTTTTTTCAAATTGTAACTTGATCTATTTAAAAAATAAAAAAGTTAATAAATAATTTAAAATAAATAAAAATAAAAATAAAATACTTACATTTAATTTATTTTGTAAAATAGAATCTCTAATTCTTTCAACATCAAACTTTTTGTTATCCACTATATCTTTAAGAACTGAAAGAAATTTCTCTTTAATCTGGTCAATTCTCTTTAAATCACAATTTTGGAACCAAATACTATAAAATTTAGTTGAGAATTTGTGTGGAACATAACCAACATCTGTTGCATATGATTCTTCAATATCGATCATAGTTGAGTAAAGAGGTGAGGTTGGACCATTAGATAAATATTCCTAAAGAAAATAATAATTACAATATTAAAATTTAAGAATGAATGAAAGTTTTAAATATTAAAACAAAATAATTACCATTAAAATTATTATAGCGTCACATCTATCAAATTCATCGAATTTTGGACCTTTGAATGTTAAGACACATTCACCAGTTGATTCTTCTTCTGCTGGGAATAAAATTGTTTTTGTTATATCTTTTGAAAAGATATCAAGTTTTGATGTCCATGGTCTTTCCATTGGTTTTAATTCCCCTTTTGAAATGGATTTTTGTACGATTGGTTCGATTGATTTGAAAATATCATCGATATTGACATCACCAGCGATTACTAGTGATACATTATCTGGTCTATAGTATGACTTGTGGAAATCACGAATGGTTTCAACTTTTAAGTTACGGATATCTTTCATTAAACCTCCAGTTTCTGATTTATATCCAGATGGGGATGTAAAGAGATCTTCTCCAATTCTGTAAAAATTTAAAAAAAATTAATAAATAATACTATTATGGTTATATTAAAATTACTAATAACATACGATGAATATATTTTTGATATTCTTTTATTTTCACGTTCTTGCATTTCACAATAAACTACACCTGCATTTTCACCTTTACCATTAATATGATGGACTTCAGTAATAAATGATTCATTGGTAATAGTTGGATAAAGTATATGGTCTAAATAAATTGGTAATATTTGTAAAAAACCGTCAGAACCTGCCTGTATATGTGTAAAAATGAAATAATGTTAATATTGGTATTAAAAATATTGAAACAAATAAAATGAGCTAAAAGTATGATCTTACAGTGGTTAATTCGTATGCAGTATGGTCAGTACTAGTATATGCATTTGTACCAGAGGCAAAACATTTGTTTGAGGCTAAATCCAAGAAGCCTTTATATGGGTAGTCTTCAGAGCCCAAAAATATTAAATGTTCTAGAGTGTGTGGACAACCATCATTTGATAGGGTTTCAGTTGGTAAAACAAAGAAACCATCTGTGATTGGTAATGGAATAGTTACATTGTAGACTGTTAATTTAGTTTGCTTGTGTACATATTTTTCTAAATGAATGTTTGTATCAATTTTAATTGAATTTAACAATTCATAATTATCTTTTAATGATGACATTATAATGGGTTTTTTTTATTTTTTTGGGAAAATAAAAATAATTTAATTTAATAAAAAAAAATAAAAAAAATGAAAAAAATGAAAAAAACAAAATTTAAAAAAAATTAATTAAAAAAAAACAAACATAGAAGTTCAAAAAAAAAAAAAAAAAAACAATATTTAATAACAACATATTTTATTTATTATTTTTTTAATTGATTGGGATTTGCTGAGATTTTTTTATTTGAAAAGAAAGTTTTAAGTTTTAATTTTTTTTTTTGGAGAGTGGTTAAGTTAACAAATATTTATTTGTGGGGTAGTGTGTGCATGAACTGTTTGATTTATTTTTTGTAATTTTTTTTTTTTATAAATATTTTTTATTATAACACTTGCTCATTACATATTAAAATTTAATTATAAATTTAATTTTTGTTTTTGTTATGGTGATTATTTGTTTTGAACCCCAGATCAAATTTTTTTGATTTGATAAGATAAAATTAAATAATAAAAAAAATTTATTGTAATAACCTATACAAACCCATATATATAAATTTATTTATATTCCTAGGTAGCATAATATAAAAAGAAGGTGTTACTCCAATAATTAAAAGATAAAAAAAGATTAAAAATAGAGATAGAATTGAATTAATTAACAACAGCGCCACACCTCCACCACCTTTTTTATATTATAAATTATAGGGTACTACATATAATATCAAAATTTTTTATTATGTGATATTATATGTTTTTATTGATTTGGAAATTATTCCTATAATTTTAAAAAATACAACATAAAAATAAAAAACCGAACAAATCATTTTGAATTTTAAAATAAAATTAAAAAAATGTTTGAACCAAACTGGCCATCCTAAGAGATTAATATAATTAAAATCAAACAACACCAATTCACAACATTTCAAATTAATTTTATATATTTATATTTTAATTAATAAAAAAAAAAAAATATTTAAAGGTTTGCAAATTTTATTTTTTTTCAATTACAAAATAAAAACATAATTACTAAATAACTTTGTATACTAGTTTTAATTTTTATTATTTATTATTTATTATTTATTACCTTTGTATTTTTAAAATTAAATATTTATCCGAACAATATTTATAAAATGTCATTATTAAGTATGTTCAAAAATATTTTTGTTTATTTATTATTTACCCAGATTACTAATGTTATTATTAACTATATAGAATCATTAACTTCATTTACTATCAACAACATTACTAATTCACAATCGATTGTTGAATTAAATAATTCAAATGTCCAAAATAATAAATTCGAGAATTCCTTAACTCAATCTAAATTAAACCATTATAATAATGTCCATCTTTTCGGCTTTAGAATTAATAATTAATTTTCAAACCCAAATGTATTTCTTATAAAACCCCGTGTACTATAAAAACAATCCTATTTATTTCTCTTGTATTATAAACTAAAAAATAAAAAATAGTTTTTAAAAAACTGAAAAAAAAAAAAATTTATAAAAAGAATTTATCTTTATTTTAATTAAAAATAATTAAAAATAAATAAAATAAAGGCATCATTTATTAAAATAATGAAATCTGGGTATTGACGCACAACTATATAATTGGACATAACGGATTTACTGAAATCTAAAACATGTGTCAAGTAAGTTGTTTACGTTTATTGGAAGCTGCCGAATAGAAAACCACTAAATTTTTCCTTTATCTAAAACCATTCAATAATACCATAGTTGCTTGGCCAGAACAATGTCTGATATTGATCGAATGGTTGATTAGAATGAAAAATTCATTATCTATTATCTCTATTTTATTTTTATTATCTATATGATCACTAAGATCTATACTATTAAAATATTCTAATTATAGTTTTATTATTGTCTAAAATAATAAAAAAATGGTTGTTGTGGTTGTTGTGATTTTTTTTGGTTTTTGTGGTGGTTGTTGTTGGTGGTTGTGGTGTTGGTTGCTGTTTTTATGGTGGTTGGTGTTGATGTTGATGTTGGTCTCTGTTATAAAAATCTAAAAAAATAGTTAGACACTACATTACTACAGATATAATATTTAAATAATTAATACTATCTTATACCTACTTTTTTTCTTAAAAATTTCATAATTCTCCAAAAGTTTTTTAGTGTGTTCATAATCGGTCACACGTTTTCTTTCTTCGAATAATTGATCGAGACCTGAATAATACTTTTTTAATTTTTTTCATCCATATTTATTAATTTACCATATGTAAATCTATATATTTTAGCAAAAGTATAGATTCTATAATTATAATATAAATGTTAATATCTATAATAAATTAAAAAATATATATTAATAATGAATAACTTACACAATTGAAATTAATAAAGAGTAGACAAAACACATTGCCTTTTCAGACAAAGTGTCGGATGAAAAAAATATGTTGTATAAAGAAAATACTAAAATAAATTCTATAATAATAAAATAAAAAATAATTTTTTTATAATTATTATCAAGATGAGTTTTAGAGCTATTAATTTTGGACTCCATATTAGCAATTCTGGACTCCATAGCTAAAACTTGATTTTCAAAAATTTCCTAAATACAAATAAAGCTATAATTAATATTTATATTTTTTTTATAATGTGTGTTATATAAGAGAGATAATTACCTTTTTTGAAAAAAAATTGCCCATTTTTTTTTATTTACCTATAAATTGAGTAGGGTAAAATGGGAATAATAAAATATAAAATATTTAAATATATATATATAAATTAAAATATGATTATGTAAAATATAACTATAATGAGGCTGAAAAATTAAGCTTGACTAATTACAATGGACTTTTGATTGCAAGCTTGAATTTAAAAAAAAATAAATTGAAAAAAAAATTAATTTATATAGAGCAAAAAACTTGATTTTGAAAAAATAATAAAAAAAAAAATTTAATTAATAATAATAAAAAGTATAATTATTTCCTTTTGTAAATGTAATAGATCAGATCCAAACTCGGTATTCCCTTTTTTGTACATTCTTTTAAATTATTAATCTGTAGCTATCATAAAAGTAGTGATCATCCATTTATTTTTTAAACACATCACCCTAATAAAAAAATAATTTAATTAAAAAATATTAAAAAAAATTAAAAAAATTAAATTATAACCCCACCACACACTTTTTTATTATTATTATAAAAAGTAGATAATATGTTTGGGAAATGAATTAATTTTTATTTTTTTTAATTAAATAAAAATGAAAATTACCAATTTTAGAACCCATTGCAATCTGAATTATTCAAAAAAAAATGATGATGCCAACTGTTCAATTAAAACAAAAAAAAATTTTAATAGTATTTTTAATTTTTTTTAATTAAAAAAATTAATAAAAAAAAAAATTAATAATCATACGAAAAATTTGATTAAAAAAATATTAAATATTTTTTTAATTTATTTGATTATTTATTTATTTATTTTAAATAAATAACTTTAAAGTCATTGAGTTGAGAAATTTCTTTTCATTTTTTTTTTATAATTTTAATTTTTATAATTTTAATTTTTTATTTTTATTTTAATTTTAATTTTTATTTTCATTATTCGAAAGACTGAGATTAATTAATGTGATATTTTGATCTAGAAACTTACCATCAGAAATAGATTGATCATTGAAACGAGATATACATGAGGCTTTACCATGCTCAGAGACTTGTTTATTTGCCTAGTGAATGATATCAGTTTCGATGATAAATGGTTGATCATTTTGCATTTAAGAGTGAAATGTAGTGGTATTTGCAAGCTTGCCATAAAAAATTATAATGTTAATTTACGATTACTTTCATGAATATTTTGCAACCAATACCAATTAATGTGAAACGAAGCTTTTTTTTAATTGAATGTACAATAGTTGCAATTTTCTAAAACCATATAGGAATTTGATGGGATCATATTGACATCGTTCCAATTAATTGAACCTGGTTCAATCTTATCGAGTATTTAAAGTATGACCAACCCATCTTGAAGATCTTGTAAATTATTTACATATGTTTTAATTATCCACATTCATTTCTTGCACTTAATTAAAGATGTTGATTTAATAATTTTTTTTTAAATAAAATATATTTCTTTGTAAAAAGTAATTATTATATTATTATATTATTTTAATTTGATTATTTCTTTGTTATCAACTAAATTTCTTAATTTTCTATTTTGGTACACTTTTTGTAAAAAAAAAAAAATTTCTTTTTTTTTTTTAATTTTATTTGATTTATTTTTTTTTTTTTTTCATATTTTTAATTTAAAAAAAAAATGGAAAAAAATAAATATTTAATAATATTACTATTTTTAATTGTATCACTAATTATTTCACCCATAGTATCAGATGAAGATGATGGCGAAGAATTAGAACAAACCAAAGATTTATTTAAAAGAAATTTAATTAGAGAGCATGTTACACCCAATCAAATTTTATCAAATTATAATACATTTTATCAAAATAAAGATAAAAGATTCTTTAAGGGTAATGTTTTAGCATATATTACCCCATGGAATGGCAAGGGTTATGAAGTTTCAGCTAAGTGGACCAATAAATTTACCCATTTATCACCTGTTTGGTATCAAATTAAATTTGAAAATTCAAACTATTTGATCGAAGGTGATCACAATATTAAAAAAGATTGGATGGAAACTATTAGAGAAAATTCAAATAAAAAAACTAAAATTGTTCCTAGATTTGCACTTGATGGTGATCAATGGTCAAAATCAAATAATTTAGGGAAAACTTTATCAGATAGTAGTTTCATAAATTCATTATTAAAAGTTGTAAAGTAAGTTAACTTTTAAAATTTAATACTATTATTTTTTTACTCAGTTTACTAATATTACTCATTTTAATATTTAAATTAGAGATAATAATTTTGATGGTTTGGTATTGGAAGGTTTTTCACATATTACCAGAGAGCCTAGAGACCAATTTTTTATTAAGCTTTCACAAGCATTCCACAAAAATAATAAAGAAATATTTATTGTTATATCGGTAAGTTTATTTAATGAATAGTATTTTTTATAGATTTATACTTATTTTTTTTAATTACTATTTAGCCAATAAGACAAAAGGGTCATGATTCAGGATTTAATAGAAAAGATTTCGATAAATTATCAAAATATGTAGATGGATTTTCACTAATGACTTATGACTTTGCACCACAATCTACATTAAACTCACCTTTAGTTTGGTGTAAAGAAAATTTAGAAGAGTTTTTAGGTACCAATCCCGACAGTGTAGATAAAGAAAAATCAAAAAAGTTATATTTGGGCTTACCATTTTATGGATATAAAGTAGAAAATGGTAAAATGGATGCAGTTGTTGGATCACAATTTATAGATATTTTAAAAGAAAATAAAAAAAGAAAATTTAGATGGGTTGAAAATGCAAATGAACATCAATTTACTTTTAAAGTTAATGGTTTCGATGTAACTTTAACATATCCAACTCTGTTATTCCTTCAACAAAGATTAGAGCTATCATCAAAATATGGAGCTTCCATTTCGATTTGGGAAATTGGTCAAGGTTTAGATTATTTTGTTGATCTATTATAAAAAATAAATAAATAAATAAATAAAATAAAAAAATAAAAAAATAAAAAAATAAAAAAATTGTAATATAATATGTTTCTTTATTTACAATTGTATTTTAAAATTATCTTATATTATAAGTAAAATATTTTGAGTGATTGAATTTTAAAAAAGCTTCTATTTCTTTAAAGTCGTTGAAATAATTGGGTGATAAATATTTAACATTATTTACTAAATCTTCTGATTCTCTATTGAACTTTGGAAAAAATTATTTAGTGCTATGTAACTATGTAACTATGTAAATTGTATATTATATATTATATATCTTTTAATTATTAAACCATTGAAATTCCTTTATCTGATAAAAATATAAATATATCTTCCAAATGATTTTTGGTAAAATAATATGGTGATATTTTCATTATTTTTTTTATGTATTTTTGAAATGAGTTTGGGATTGAGGCTTCATTTCGTATTAGATGCATATAATATTTGAGGAAATAGTCTAAAAAGTTATTTAGTGAGACGAAATCTATAAAAGCGGGATCGAATTTCGATGGAAAAATATTAATTATTACATTAATTACTGGGACTATATTAAGAGAATATATGTGTGCTAATTTTGATAGATATTTTGATTGAAGTGATTTACATGATTCACTTGGAAGATGCTTCAAAATAGTTTTATAAAAAAATACTATTGTGATATTTAAATTTGATGGTCCCATATTGCAAATATCTTTTAGAGCCATAGTCTCGAGTAGTTCTATTTGGACTGATTTAAAGTAATTTGCTTGCTCGTCAAAATTGTAATTAATTGGAATACGGTAAAATTTTTCGACTTCGGCAAAATATGGGTTTTTGATATCTTTATATTTAGAAATGGAATCTGTAAAGAAACTCATATTTTTGGTCTCTTGGATCAAATGATTGATATTATCTTTATATATTGTTTCTATGAATGCTGGGTAAACTTTGTATAAGGTTGGTAAAAAAATTTTGATATTTACAATGTTACTTTTAATTTTATTTGGACCTTGTAATTCTATCATTGGAACGAAAAACTGTTGATTATGCAAAATAAACTCTTTTATATATGACTTGCTAACCAAACTATTTGAAAATTCATAACCCTTTATAATAAATTCGAAAATGTCACCAATCGTCGTTTTCTTTATATATGGTACAAATAGGTCTTCGCTGTGAGGAATTGAACAGACTAATGTTGAAAATATTTCTCTATTTGATTTTTTTTTATCTTTTAAAATTTTGAAACCATTTAGAAAATTTGTAAAGTTTGCCATATATACTGTTGGTGAAGCTTTAACAAAGCTGACCATGTTTTCGAGGTAATGCTCCGATATAGATGCCATATGATTTATAAAATCATTTTCATAAGCGCTTATTTGCTCCCATAATTGATCTTTTGGGAAATAATTTAATAGCACCGTAAGATTCTCCAAAATTTCATCTCTTAATTGTTGCGACGATATTGATATCTTGACAATAATACATATCTCTTCTTTTATAAAATATTCTGAATTCATTTGTAAATTTAAAAAAAAGCCTACAAATTTACAATTTGGTAAAACCAATCTAATAGCAGATCTTTTTAATTCTTTTCCTTTGCTTGGTAAATATTTGTCAATAGCATATTCGATTGTCTTGTCAAGGTAAGGAGCCGCCACATATCGATCATCATGAAAATATACTTGATTTATAAATGCTGCTGCCTCTTCGGTATCTGTTGGAATATTATTATTATTATCTGATTCTAAATGGTACAATATTAACTTTGGTATTTCATCAAAGGGAAATTTGCTGAAAAAAATTTCTTGCTTCCCAAACACCAATACAGGGTAAAACGAATCTTTAATATTTTTATTTGTTACAATTGCTTCTTCCTCTATTTCTAGACTTAAATTTAGTTCCTCTTTTTTCTCTTTAATAAAAGCACTTAAAAAACCCTTAGACTTAATGAGGCATAGTCTTGCTAGATATGTTGATGCTGCACATAATTTTTCAATTGATAGTAACTTGGTTAACACTAATTTATCTTGACCTTCAAAATCCTCAAATGATTTATAGCTTTGATTTAATATATATACAAATTTATTATTTATCTTGAAAAAATTTTGAAGCTGTACATATAAATTATCTTGTTGAGTTATAGGAATCAATTCGATTTTATTTTTTTTTGCTGGAATAATAGAACTTGGGCTAGAGCTTGGCAACCTTTTACCTGAATCTTTAATTAGATTATAAACAAGACATAGTCGGACCCCGCTCTCGATCGGTTTGATTTCATACTCGCAGTCATTTAAAAAAGCAGTGTAATAAATATTTGACGGTTCATAATTTTCTAAATCTATCATTGCCTCATCATCACCACATTTGACTATCAATTCACCACCTTGATGGAAACTAGGCAATACCAAAATTAAAGTACCAATAATATTTGTTTTTTTATTTTCTTGAGATGAAACTTTTGTATGTGATAAAGAGCCTCCTTTGTTGAAAACCATAAATTTATCCAATTTCGTGCTGATCTTTTCTTCTTCAATTCCCATTCTTTCTTTACAGTTGTTTATTATTGACTCTAGTATTGCTGACCACGGTTTACTTTCAAAACCTACTTTATCTAGTGGTAATTCCCATATGTTGATTTGATTTTTTTCAGTTGAAACTTCATACTTTGATACCAACTCTTTTAGTTTATGAACTTTAAATGGAAACTCAAGATACCCAAATTCTTTTACTGATATTATGATTTCAACTTGACCTGTATCGCCTCTACAGAAATAACTTTTGTATTTGTTGCAATTAATAATAGTTTCTTCTTTTTCTTTTTCCTCTTCTTCCTTCTCTATCTCTGTATTCTCCTCAATTAATAATGTATATAATTGTTTTATGATTTGAGAATTATTATTATTATTATTATTATTATTCATTATTACTATTTACTATTATTAAATATTATTATTAATAACTAAATTGTTTTGTATATTTCGTTTTCATTGTTATGAAAATATTAAAAAAAACTAAAAAAAATTTTAAAAAATAAAAATTAAAAAAATAAAAAAAAAAATAAAATAAATTTGTGTTTATTTAATTAAAAAATAATTTTAAAAATGAAATAAAATTAAAAAAAAAAAAAATTTTACTTGGGTTTCTAAAAACTAAGTAATTTATCATTGCATTAGCAGGTAATTAATCAAGGTCGGTGAATTTAAAACAGGTAGTATTGTTATTAGAGACATCGATTTTAAATATGAATCGATTTACCAAAGAATAAGGGCGGAGAAAAACTTTGTTTCATCACGTGTGATGTACCAAATAGAGGTTCCAGATATTATTAAAGCAGCCAAAGCCCATCAAAACAAGTATTTAGCATATACCAGTCTAGTTAGAGCAACTGAAGATGATTCATCACCAGTATATTTCTTTCAAAAGTACCATATTGATTTCAAAACCTCCATAATTTTAGCAGTTAAAGTTTAACCAATCCGTAAAATTTTTTTTTTTTTTTTTTTTAAAATTTTAAAAAATAGTTCATTTACATGATATTCAACTGAACCAAAATACAAAAAACAAAAAACAAACGTAAAAGGTGCATATTTTTTATTTGAATATTTATATATATATAATTTTTATTAACATTGCCTGTATTTTAATTTAGATGTTTTAATAACAATACACCACAGCGAAAAAGAAAACAGCACTATTTTCCACGAAATAAACATTAATAACAATAAATTCACTAAATGGATCGAAAAATTCCATATAAATACCATTATAAATTTAATCAGGGAAAGATCAACCAAAACACCAAAAAACTCTTTAAAGAAATGAAAAAATCTCATCTTTTTTTTTTGATGATAATGGTATCGATTGGAAATCAAACTGGTCCCAAAAAATATAAACTTGATACTATTACAAATATAGAAGTTAAAGAATTCTTCAATAACAAGGAAATAGAATCTTTTAAAACTTTTTACGAAGATGTTCAATACATACCCAAAGAAATATACGGAAACTCTTTTTTTTTAGTCAAAAACAAAAAAAATGATATAAGTTTTATGAAAAAAAATATATTTCCAACCAAATATAAGGATCAAGGTCCAAGTTTTAGTTTACCAACAGGTTGTCACGCCAATAAGAATGAACAATCAGTCAGGAATAAAATTATAGATCATGTTTTTGAACAATATTTCAACGATTTTTTTGAAAAAGTATTGGCATCAACAAATGACTATTTAAATTATCGTAAAAAATTGGCTAGTTTAAAAGAAGTCGAAGCTCCATGGTTTTGTAACATACTGATTTTACGATAACAGAACTCAAAAACTATTTTTCTATTTTTATATTTGCTGGTTTAAATAGAGTAACAAATATTTCATCATTTTGGAAAAAACCAGATAGCCTTATTGGTTTTTCATTTTATAATCCCACCATTTCAGGTCTTATGTCCTTTGCTAAATATAAAATAATTCATAGATGTGTTCACTTTGAAGGTTTTGGTACAGATGATAGACCAACTGATTTAGGTTTTATCTATGAATATGTCAATAAATTAATCAAGAACTTGTACCAACCAGGTGAATTTTCTTTTGATGATGAATATATTTAAATGGTCTAGTAAAGGAGGATTAAAAAAGAGAATACCAGGAAAAGCAGATAGAGTTGGCAATATATTATGGAAACTGGCTGATTCAAATAATTATATCTATCATTTTGAAATCGAACATTTGGTAGATAAAATAAAAAAGAAGGAGAAAATTAGTACACCTATTGGAGAAGAAATTTTAAATAGGACTGTAAAAATATTAAATGAAATTGGTTTGATCAAAAATAGACCATTCACTTGTATGATCATTGATGCTGGATTGTTAGGTAGTATACAGAATATGAAAACCAGGAAAAGCAGATAGAGTTGGCAATATATTATGGAAACTGGCTGATTCAAATAATTATATCTATCATTTTAAAATCGAACATTTGGTAGATAAAATAATTGTTATCAAAAAACATTTAAAAATTTATAATGGTATTTATATGGAATTTGAAATTTTCGATCCATTCAGCGAATTTATTGTTATTAATGCTTATTTCGTGGAAAATAGTGCTGTTTTCTTTTTCGCTGTGGTGTATTGTTATTAAAACATCTAAATTAAAATACAAGCAATGTTAATAAATATTATATATATTCAATATATAAATATTCAAATAAAAAATATGCACCTTTTACGTGTTTTTTGTATTTTGGTTCAGTTGAATATAAAGTAAATGAACTATTACCGTTGTTGGTATTATTGTTATTTGTATTCATTTTTTTTTAAAAATTGCATAATATTTTAAGGGTTAAAGATAAATTTTAGTTAAAAAATAAAAAATTACAATTAATTATTTATTGATTTAATAAAGGAAAATAAATATAAACCTATATATATTTTAAATTATTAAATCATATTTATTAAATGAATTACTTTTTATTTTTCTTTTTTTTTTTAAAATATAACACCACATAATTATTGTGATATCTACCTTTGATAAAATTCACACTACTCAACAGGGTGCTGTAATCAGTCTGGTGTTATAATGAAAGACTTTGGGTATAGCAAATGCACCCAACGACTAATGAGATAACACGTCGAAACTTAATTATAAAAAAAAAGAAATTTTTTTATAAATATTTCAAAAATTATCAAGTATTATGGTAGACGTTTTTCGTTTTTTTTTTTTTTTTTTTTCTAAAAAATAAGCAATTTTAATATTAATTTTTTTTTTAGATTTTTTTATTTTTTTTTTTTTGTAAAAAAATCTAAAAAAAAAAAAAAAAATTTTAAAATTGTATATTAAATTTTTTTATTTTATTTTATTTATTTGGTTTCATTAAAAAAAAAGATCAAAATAATATTTATGATATGAATGATATAATAAAAGTAGTAGTAGTACCAAAAATCATACAAATAGATATATTAAAAATATTAACTAAACATATTAATGGATTATATCAATTATGTGATGGAATAACGATTGATCACCCAGATTATAAAAATATAGAGGTTAAAACATATATCGATTCAAATCAATTGGTTTTAACATTATGTTTGGTGTGTAAAGATTGGTTAGATATCACTTTAAAAAATATAAATGTATCGGTCAATTTTAATAATGAAGCCCCTAAATTAAATTGTAATTTTAATAATGACAATATAAAAATTTTAAAATTAAATTATTTCGAAAAAAAACAAAGATTTTATAACTTTTCAAAGAACCCTGAAGAAAGGAAATTTATAACACTTGAAAAACTATCAAAAAAGCTTAATGAATATCAAGGTTTAGAAAAAATTATAATTAGAAATTGTATTCATTCCTATCAAATCTATAAACAAAATCTATACAATGGTAATGACATAGAGCATAGCCCAGAGGTTATACGGATGGTTAGAGAACTAAAAAATATATTAGACTCCAAAGGATATAAAAAAATAGAAATTATTTTATTTTTATTTAGAGTGGACACCTATAGTTCGTTAGAGATGATTCGGGGTTTTTATAATTCAGTGTGTCAGAATGTAATGAATATAGCAATTGTAAATAGTAGTCGAAATAATGTTAATGGTGAAGCAATTAAAATGTGGTATAAAACTATAAAGAAAATTATAGTTGTTGATGATACTATAAGATCTTGCAATGTTCCATATCGAGAATTAGTAGGCAATACAGATTATAGACAAGATATCTATGTTGGTGGAGACCAGTTTGATGGTGATGGAACAAACTATTTAGAATATATAAGGGACTTTAAAATTGAAATGAATAGTTTTTTATATAAAGAGTTAGCTTTAATTTTAAAATATTCACCAAATTTGGAAAAAATTAGTTTAAAATTATGTATTAAGAGTTTAATTTATTATTTATCAAACGAAAATGATCTGGACAGGTTAAAACTTAAACTTTGCACATGTTCTCCCATATTTGTATCAAACTCAAAATTAGAAAGATTTAATATAAACGATAAAGTGTTGTTCCAAACTTATTGGGAAGATATTTGTGCATCTTTAAAAAATCATAAGAATTTAAATCACATTACTTTAAATCATTCATGTTTCATGGCCTATATAGATAAGGTACCATCGCAATCATTTGTTTGTGAATTTATTTCAATGCTATCAAATACCCAAAGTTTAAAATCATTCTCTCTATCAGGGTTTAATAATGAACCACCACTCGAAATTTCCCAATTTAAAGACATTAATCAAGATATCGAAAAAACAGTTACACAATACTTTTTCCCAAAAGATAATAATAATAGAAGTAATAGTAATAATATCAGCTGGTTTATTTAATAATAAAAACTGTTAACAGCTTTTGTAACAAAAAAAATTTAAAATTCTTAAAAAAATAAAATAAAATAAAATTATTTTTCATTGTTTTAATTTTAAAAACATTTTATTATAGTTTTATTTTTTATGAATGAAATTATTTAAAAATCTTCATCTTCAATTTGGAACATGTTCATTTCATTTTCTTGGTTTTCATTTTGATTTAAATCGAAAAGTTCCTTAAGTTAAAAAAAAAAAATTAGTAATAGTTTAAAGATAAATAAAAATTTTTAAAATAATTAATTATTTACTCTTTCGATTAAAATTTTACAAGCATTGCTGCATGTACCGATATCATTTGAAAAGTATTCGGCAAAGGTTTTGATCATATTGTATTGTTGTGGGAAAACATATTCAAAATCATTGGCGGCATGTCTAACGGTTTCAAGACCAGCGTGGTTAATTATATTGGCAGCAGCATTTTGGCCGGTTTCAACAAGTGAGTTACAATAATTATTGCATTTTTGTTTTAAATCTAAAATACTGATAGCAGCAAAACTTGAGTTAATTAATACTATTAAAACTAATAAAGTAATTAAGAATTTCATTGTATTTGTTTATTTTTATAATTTAATAAATTTAGTTTTTAATTGAATATTGTATTATTATGGAATGAATAAAAAATTTATAAATTTAATTTATATTAAAATAAATACTAGTATTAATAACAAGAACGAAAACACAAATTAAAAGAATTGGGAAAATTATAAAATATAAAATATATAATTGTAATTTTCGATATTTTATTATTGTTTATTTTTTAAATTTTATTTTTAGAAAAAAAAATTGTGGGGTGTGTAAGGTGTAAAATGAAAGTGGGTAAAAAAAAAAGTGTGTATTATTGTGTGTATAATATAGGTGAATTTTTTACTTTTAATATTATGGGTATAGATATATGTTTTAAGATATCATAAAGTCTTTTTTTTTTTCCAACAAATAACTAATTCGGAGTTGATAAAAATAATTTTAATTTTTAAAATTTAAATTAGATAAGTTTTTATAAAAACTTTTTACAATTACACTTATAAAAAGAGATCTTTTTTGTAGCAAAATATAGGGTATTTGTAATAGTAATTCATTTATATTATTTTCTATATAAAATGTGTTGGTGTGTATGGGTTAGGAATTTAAAAAAAATTAAAATTTTTTATTTCAGTGATGTTTAAAAATCCAAAAGAAAATTAATGAATAAAGGTACTTACAGGAGATACCAATGATAGGAACAATATTCAAAAAAAAAAAAAAATTAAGAAAGTTCCACAAACCCCTTATGAAAGTGAATTTAAAAAATTAAACTCGATTTACATGTTATCATCTTTAAAGACCAGTAAAAATTTACATGAAAGTTTTATTGGTATCATTATTTGGTAATGAGCAGGCAGATTTTTTAGGTTCAAGTGAATCATAATATCTCAAAATATTTTTGATTATTGTTAAGCTGCAACTAATTATTTCTCTTTTTTTGAATGGTTAAAACCAGAAGTTTTAAAATCATTCCTATCTTATCAAATTAATAGTGTCATTTTATATTATTTATTGTAGTATTATTAAAATGTAGTATTATTAATATAGTACTTTTTTTTTTTTACTTGGTTACAACCACCACCGAAAGTGAGTGTTGTGAGATTATTTGGTAATGTGCCGGGTAGAATTACTTGGTTAAAACAATTATCGAATTTGAGTGTTGTGAGACTATTTGGTAATGTGCCAGGTAGAATTTCTTGGTTAAAACAATTACCGAATTTGAGCGTTGTGAGACTATTTGGTAATGTGCCGGGTAGAATTACTTGGTTAAAAAGACTTCCAAATGTGAGTGTTGTGAGACTATTTGGTAATGTGCCAGGTAGAATTACTCGATTAAAACCAACAACGAATGTGAGTGTTGTGAGACTATTTGGTAATGTGCCGGGTAGAATTACTTGGTTAAACAGATCACCGAATGTGAGTGTTGTGAGATTATTTGGTAATGTGCCGGGTACAATTACTTGGTTAAAACAAGAACCGAATGTGAGGTTTGTGAGACTATTTGGTAATGTACCGGGTCGAACTATTTTTTTTAAACCATCACCGAGTGTGAGTGTTGTGAGACTATTTGGTAATGTGCCAGGTGGAACTACTTGCTTATAACGACTACCGAATGTGAGTGTTGTGAGACTATTTGGTAATGTGTTGGGTGGAACTACTTGGTCAAAATCATGACCGAATGTGAGTGTTGTGAGACTATTTGGTAATCTGCCAGGTAGAATTACTTGGTTAAAATAATAACCGAATGTGAGTGTTGTGAGACTATTTGGTAATGTGTCGGGTAGAATTACTTGGTTAAAATAATGACCGAATGGAAGTGTGGGAGGACTTTTTTGGGAAATGTACCCGGGGGGAATTTACTTGGTTTAAACTAAAAATTAATTACCGGAATGTGAGGGGAGTATTTGTGATTTGGAAA